TTTGACTGTGGTTCCGTGAGTCCAACCTGGAGCCAACCGTCTGGCAGGGAACCTCACCAGTTGGCATTCACCAACTTTCCTGTCCCATTTGCTGCTTTCTGGGATGAGATCCCAGGAGACTTGGGCGACAACTCGGTGCAGGTTAAGGAGAGGGAAGCAAGAAAAAAGATTAACTGTTGACTTGGGGGGGTCCCCCTTGGACTCTTTAGAGCAGTTCTTGTGCCCATCCCATGGGACCCTTGCACCATGCCATTCCCTGTGCCCAGATTCCCCTTGCCAAAAACACAGCTTCCCTTAAGAAAAGTACTCTTGACTCTGACTAAAACAGGTCAAGATTTTTTTGTTGTAAACTCACACGCTCCTTCTTCCAGGGGAGTGCTGAGCAGGCCCACAGTCATCTGAACTGGGTGAGATTCATTTGAATTTTGTCTGATCCCTTGGTGCACTGGGGGCCCCAGGAGACAGGAACACTATGCTTTACCCCTGGGACAAATGACCATCAAATGAGTGGACAACCTCAGGAAACCCTGTGGACTGTGGTAGCCAGGGAAGGCCAGAGTGTCATTTCCAAGGAAATAGACTCAGCTGCTCCTTTATTTTCTGCCAAGTGTTGCATTCCCTGCTTGACTAGCTTCATATAATCACATTGTCACACGAATCTCCTCTAGAGCCGCTACTCTGTTTACAGGTAATGAGATGAAGGCTTGGGAAACTCAATTGAACTTGCCCCAAATCCCACATGTTGTATGAGGAAGAGCTGGGGCTGTAGGCCAGGTCTGCTGTGACCATGGCATGCTTCCCCAGTGCTCAGAGTCCTTTTGAACACCAGATGGCTTTAGTAAGTCCCAATCAAATCTCAGCTCAGCTCAGCTCTGCCCCCAGGGCACTGAGGCCCATGAGAGGGTGGTGCAGACATGCATCGACCTTGAGGCCAGCAGAGCCCTTTCTGGGGAATCTCTGTCCTGTCCCTTTCCATGAGCTGTATATGTTGCCCTCTTCTCCTGAATGCCCTTCTTACCTACCCTTGCCCAGAAAACACCTATTACCCTATGTCTCCACTCCAGAGCCCTCTTCCTGGGAACTCTTCCAGGTGTCTTGAGTCCCCTGCTGTTGGACTTCCACAATTTATCACCCATCTGTCTCCATCTACAGACCACAAGTACCTTCTTCATTTATCCACCAAATGTTCACCATGTCCCAGTGATGGGGCCATACAGTGAGCTCTCAGCCTAGCAGTGGATGCAGAGCAGAAGCAAATGGTACGCACTCGTCTAATGGCAACCATCACAAGCGCTATAAAAGCCATGGCCCACCAGAGCCAGGAAGGAGGACACTCAAGTGGAGCTCCTTCTGGGCTGTCTCTGTTCTGGTCACAGTTTCCTCTTCAATTCCTGTCCTGGCTTCTGGATACCAACTTCAGGGAGCCCCACAAAGCCCCAGAAAGAAACAAAAGCACACAGAGCTGTCCAAGAGACAATGGGGTCCCCATGCTCATAGCACAATCCTTTGTACCTTGGGAAAAGCCTGGGTATTGTGGCATCCTCCCAGAATTCTCTGCTTCCAGAACATTGGACAAGTTGCCCCACCTCTTGGAGCTTTCCCATCTTAAAATAAGGATAAGGAGTGGCTGCCATGTAGAGTTAGGTGGGGCTTTGTCATACAGAGTACTTAGCACCATGCCTGGCATAGCGTGCATGGCCCATAGGCTAAAGCAATTGCTGTGTTAAACACTCACTGTCTAAAACAGATGCCAAGGAAACAATGACTGAGAAGTCAAGGATGGTGGTTGGGAGGGGGTGGGAACAGGTTGGGGGAGGTCCACTTAGCTAATCCTAGGTTATTGGGAAGTTTCTAGTTGTGAGTTTACAGATGCTTATTATGTTATTAAAAAATTCGCTTTTTGTGCAGACACACATGATAATGGGATATGCAGAGGTCATATGTGGGAGCATTCATGGACCCCAAATTATGATTGATGTAATATTAGCTACTTGATGCTCATTATAGATTACAGCTTTAGATATATGGGATTGTTACACAGACCATCAAGTTTGGATAGAAAAAACTACCACTGAATTCTCTAAGCAGCCAGAGCAAGGTTCTGTATGTATCTTTTCCTCAAAGGATACTAAAAGTGCAGTTGTTGCCACGGGAAGATCCACAGATCAATCTCTGATGTTCAAAGAATTCTTGTGGTCTGGGGGTGTGTAGTTTGGTGGTAGAGCACTTGCCTAACATGCACCAGGCTCTGGGTTTCTATTCCCTAGGACCTTCCTGCCCTGCCCCCCAAAAGGGACCCTCATGCTAGAAAGGGCTGGGAATGCCACTGACCTCAGGGATTTGTGAAAGCCCTGGAGGTGCCAGACATGGTAGCATGTGTCTAAAATACCAGCACTGAGGCAGGAAGATAGAGAATTCAAGGTAATCCTAGGCAACATAGTATGACCCTGTTTCAAAAAAAAGTGAAAGAGGGAGAGAAAGAAAGAAACAAAGAAACAAAGGGAAGAAAGGAGGAAAGAAAAGAAAGAACCCTGAAGGACAAAGATATTGGGCATAAACGAAGACGGGTCCCTGACTCCAGCACCAAGGTCTGATCACCAGCACCTGCTTGGATCTCTTCTCTGAAAGCAGCAACACCCCTTCCTGGTGCCAGGTGTTCCCGTAAGGCCCACAGCTGTGGGTCAAATGCTGAGCAAGGTGAGGTAACAATGAGAAACACCACAAAACAAACATAGAACCAAGAGCCACCTGAAATTCATAATAAATAGCTGGCCCCATGCCCATGTGTAGGGCGAGCCTTTGCTGGTGGTTCATTAAGGGAAAGAGGCAGAATTACCTATTGGGTCATAATTGGGCTGCAGAGAGGTTCTTCCTACCAGGTGTCGAGGGGAGAGCTTTCCAGATGCGAGTCTCTTGTGCCCTTTCCTTCCGTCCCACTTTGTGGCAGACCCTGGAATGAAAAGTGGTGCTGCACTGAAGGGCTAAATTGACTCTTCTTCACCCCTCAAATGGTTCTAGAGTGAGAGACCAAGCTGGCTGAGGCATGTGGGGACGGCTTGCCTTAACCATGCAGGAATGAAGCACGAGTACACCCAGACCAGCTCCTCTCTGCCCACCTGCTGTTCCACACCTTCCTGGCATTGAGATGCCAGCCTAAGATTTGAACACTTGTCCTTTCCTTTTCTTTTCCATGACTCCCAATCTGGCTCTTTGCTCTTCAGTATAAACTGACCGACTATCCCAGTTTACTGACAAGAGTTCCTGGGACTCAGGACTTTGAGTTAGAAAAGCCTGAAAGTCCCGGGCAAACCGAGACAAGGTGTTTACCCAGATTGCTTTCAGCTGTGCTCTCAACTGGCATGTGGCCAGGCACAGTGTTAGTACCCAGGAAATGATTGTCCTGTGAAAGAGCATCAAGTGGGCCAAGGATGGGAGGGACACAGGACAAGTCTGTGGATGCTTTTGGGGGTGGGGACAATGGAGACTCCAACCTCACCTGCAACACTTCTCTAAAACAGGCAAAGCAGATTGACAAACTGTTCAGACTTCCCAAGAGGGTGCTGGGTTTGTTAAAATGATATTTATTCTCTGGGCTGCAGACATAGTTCAATGGTAGAGCTCTTGCCTACCATGCACAAAGCTCTGGGTTCCATCCTCAGCATCATGAAATAAAATCATATTCTTTGAATTTGCAAATTGATTTTAAATAAGAAAGCCCAGGGGAATCCCGAAGCCTGGGTCTCAGCAGTCTGAACAGTGCCCCCCTCCCCAGGTTAGTTGTTCCTCTGTATCCAAGGGTCATGAATTCCAGGTCTGCCTGTGGATGCCAAAATTCATAGGAGCTCAAGTTCCTTCTATTTTAAAAAGGTGTAGTATTTGCATGTAATCTGCACACGTTTCCTGTAAACTTTAGCTCATCTTTGATTAGTTTTGATAACCTAACACAGTGTAAATTCTGTGCAAATAGTTGCTATACAGCACAGACACATTTATTTAAAAATACATTTTTTATCTGAGGTTGACTGAATCTGTGGCTGACTATAAAATGTTCATCCCAAAGTGGATGTCATTTTTCTCTCCTGGGGCTCAAGTCATCCAGGGATGAAGTCCCAAAGGTTTCTACCAATGACCATTTGTGGGTTGCAGGTGGGGCCTCAGACCACCGCCTCCCAGACACACTGCTTGTGCAACACCTCACCTTCTTTGGAAGCACATTCCTGGTGATGCCCAATGCTGTTGACGTCCGTCAGACTGCTGAATTCTTTGCCACCTTCGAGGACAACCCTGTGGTTGTGACCACTGTGGGCTGCCTCTGTGTGGTCTATGTGTTGGTGGTGATCTTGGCAAGAAGGAAGGATGCAAAGAATCAGGCCAAGGTGAAGTTGAATGGCCTCTGGGAATGGGAGGGAAAAGCAAGGGGCATCCTCATGCAAGGGCTCTGGGGGACAGAGCCCAGGCGGGTTGCTGAAAGGCCAGCTGCTGTCCAGGCCTTAATGTCTGGGTCATCTTAGCCAACTAGCCCATTTCCCTAGTTATCTACAAAATGTCCTTTTCATCAAATTATCAGGAAGAATATGCTGCTGACCAATAACTGAGGACTTATTAAGAGTCATGCATTAACCCACTTAATGCTCACAGCAGCCCTAGGAGAAAGGTGCCTGTGTTGAGGGTCTTAAGACCGCTCTCAGGCTCAATGATTTGCTAGAAGAACTCACAGATCTCAGAATGGTAAATGAACTCATGGTTAGGATTGATTACAGCAAAAGGACACAGGTTAAAATGAGCAAAGGACAAAGAGACCAGATTTGGCTTCTGGTTGTTCTCTTCCCATGGAGCCTACAGAGGCAGTGTTTAATTTTCCCGTGATGGTGTGTGATGACATGCAGGAAGTATTGTCAACTCACCTGAGTTTTGGTGTCCTTGGAGTCAGACACCCTAGTAGGCAGTGCCTGACTGCCTGACCTCAATGACTGTCTCCAGCCTCCCCCAGCAGAGATCAAACTGGCACAGTCAGCCCAAGGCTCAAGGCTTCCACCATAAATCTCATTGTCAGCATAGGCTGTCTGGCCTGCCCCAATGCCTCAGGTAGTCCATTGACTTCGAATTTATCACCTGGGACCATGGCCAGTCCTTTCTTTGGAATGTGCAGGGTTTGAACACCCCAAGTTTGCTGAGTGTACCCTACACTGCATAGCAGCTCTGTCACCTCAAAGAGGAGGCGGTCAACAATGGAAAGGTCAATCAATTGGCCTAAAGTTACCAAACGGGAGCCAGAATTTAAACTAGATCTGACAGCGTAAGATAGGGCTGAAGGTAGAAATGAGATCAAACAACAAATTGCTCAGCAAATTATTTGAAACAACAAAATTATTCATTTTAATTTTGTTTTACTGATATGTTTTACTTGGAACCTTGTATAAAGAAGCATTCTCACCTGATGGAATGAATACATAGCACATGGGGTTTTTTGCCCTTTATCTGTCTTGAACACCCCATTCGTTGTTGGCCAGCGTGTGATGAGTGAACTCACTGAGCAGAGTCCTCCTGACACTGTCCTTCTGTCCAGGTGAAAGTCACAGTGCTGGAGGACAATGATCCCTTTGCCCAGTACCACTACCTGGTTACAGTCTACACTGGACACCGACGAGGAGCAGTCACATCCTCAAAGGTACCCACAACACGACCCCTTGGTCAATCTGCATGTCCACCCAGCAAAGCGTTCCTCTGCTATTGAGGAGTGACCTTAGCACAGTGGATAGGTGTTGGAAGTTTTTCTCTCTTTTGACTTTGTTCGTTAGAGGAAAGGATCTTTTGTCAAACAAAGATTACCTTAAGCCCCAATACTTGAAAGGACAAAGGAGGAGTGCTTCAGAAAGGGCCAAGTCTACCCATGAGCTCTGAGCATCTCTCCCCCTCCATTTGAGAATCACCCAGCATTCAGTTTGTTGCCCAAAGGCAGGTATGCTCACAGATGAAGCAGCCAGTCAGTAAACGTATCAAGAAAAATGGGGGAGACACAATTCCTGAGTGAGAAGGAAGAAAGGAAAGAAGGAAAACATTTGAGAACAGCCAGTCTTGATCTAGACTTGAGGTGCATTGAGCCAAGAAGTCAGGTGCAGCTGCCTATCCTGGCTGACGAGAGGGATGGAGGAAAAAATTCCAACTGTTTGTGGAGTCTCTGCGATGCTTGAGTGTTTAGCCATGTTGCATGTAGCAGGCTTCTCCGTACTGTCCTAGCCTCCTTAATCAAGCCTGGCCTGGGCCATGTCCTCATCTGAATACATCAATCATCCCTGCAGCAGCCTCTGAGATTCCCTTGTGAGAGCTGAGGGGTTCATGGGATGCAGTTTGGGAACTAGGAACTATCATGGCTTGTGTGCATAGTACTGGAGAAAATGCCATTGTTTTCAAATATGAAATTAGATTTTATGAGGGTAGGGTGTTTATTTTGTTTTTTAAATTATGTTATTTTATTATGTGCATTTTATTTTAAAATTTAAACATTTTCATTTACTGCCATGTGTTAGGTCCTAGATCAGCTGTGTGACTGAGTCAGTGCTTGGTAACTATTTGTTGAAGGAACATAGGGCCCATTTTCATACAACCGGTGACATACCACTCCCTTCCACTTGATCCTGAAGAGTCAGCCTCAATAGGAGAGCAGTGAAAAGTCTCTCGTTCACAGGCCATTTCTCTTCATGGAGAGTTGTCACACTTCAACCTGATATTGCCTGAGTTTTGGGTTCACCTAGAACAGTGGTTCTCAACTAGAGGTGATGTTGCCCCTGGGTACCATTGGCAGGGCCGGAGACATCCAGGCCCCAATGTCAGTAGTAGAGGTAGAAAAACCCTGCTGTTGGTGGGGAGGAGAAGGAAGGTGGCACAAACAGTGTATGCACATGTAAATAATGTAAAAATGATAAAATAAAAGGAAAAAAGAAAAAGAAAAACCCTGCTGTTAAAGCTGAACCTGAAATAAGGATTCCAGTACAAGTGATTTATCTGAGATGGGATCCCAGGAGACTCCCTGGGAATCCACATAAGGGAAGGAAGACAGCCAATAAAGGGTGCAGGGTCAAACTGTTACTCCATGGGGCCTGGAGCCTAACCCCACTGGGAGACTCAAAAAACAGTAAGAAACATGTGCCCTGAAGGCATCCCAGCTGGGGGAGGGGGAACTGGGCTCTCTCCAGTTCATACCAGTCACTGGCTGAACAGCCTGCAGGGGCCATACGTCTCTGCCCCTCTGACTGCTGTTCTAACAGCCAAAGAGAACCCCTGGAGAAAGAGGGCAGCAGCTGGCAGTTGGTGTGGGTGCAGGGAGGCTGCACTGGTGGGCACAGGCAGAATCTGCCAAAGCTGGCTTTGACTCCATCAGTCAGTCACTGCCCACTAGCACCACTTGAACAGCTTCAGAAAGACACATATCCTGGGCCTGGTGGCCAATATTCTTACTTGGTAAGAATGACCTAGGGTGGTGGACCCTGGGAATGTGCATTTTCAACACAGTGGGCATTCTTTCATTCACATCTCAGGACCAGGCTCTCTGAGAGGCACTGAAATATCGTCGTTAGGGGAGCGCAGTTCCTGCCCTTAGCCCTTACAAATAAATATGTAAGTTTGTAAAGGTCACCAGCAAGCATTTTAGGAATTTAGTGTCACACCAAATCAGCATGCAACTGAAAAAAAAAAAAACACAGGCAGGTCTAAGATGGGAAGAGAGGAGCAGGTGAAAGGGCCAGGCCTCATTGTTTTTTGTTGGTTTCTGGCCACCCCAATGAAGTAGAAGTGGCCATTCCTAGTCTCTGGATTTCAGGTAACTGTCACCCTGTATGGCTTGGATGGAGAGAGTGAGCCCCACCACCTGTCAGACCCCGACTCCCCAGTTTTTGAGCGAGGAGGAGTGGATGTCTTCTTGCTTTCTACCCTGTTTCCCCTGGGAGAGCTGCAGAGCCTCAGGCTATGGCATGACAACTCAGGGGACCGGCCATCCTGGTGAGTCTGGAAAAGGAAAACCATGAGGACTTTTCAAAACTTCACACTTGCCACCTTCTTGGCCTTCACAAGCCTCCACAAAACACCTGGTCTGCACAAACCAGACCAGTAGGTAGAAGGACTGATGGGTTAGTCCCATGCTTGGTCCTGTTGCAGCATCAACCTGAAACCTAGCCAGGTTTCAAGCTGCAAGTTCAGAGCAGAGCTCTTCCCATGTTCTCAGAGGTCAAGACTCAAATGAGTGGAGTCAGTCTGACCAGCCACCAGCAGCTGGCAGCTTTAGAAAAACACAGCGTTTGTACTGCTGTCTTTAATTCTCCAAATTCCTGGGATGCAGACTCCTAGATGGAGTTGAACATGTGGGGTGTCTGTTATGGGGGTGCTGGGATCAGCATCTGGGAAGGGAGGGCAAAGCACAGATGGGCACAGAGGCATGTCAAACTGTGATGCTGTCCTGCAACAACTGGGTCCCTGGAGCTGTCCCAAGTTGGATCAAAATGCCCAGGTCCTGCTCACACCAGGCCCCGCTGAGTGTTGGCCACCCCAGGAGGGCATGCAACCTTAACACTGGGGGCCTTTGCATCCCTGATGCAGCGGTCCTCCTGAAACAAAAGATGTGGAAGGCATCTCAGTGGGGTGCCCATTGCTGACTGAAGGCTCAGGGAAGGGCAGCTTGGCCATTTTTTTTTTTTGGTAGTACTAAGATTTGAACTCAAGGTAGCTGAGATGACAGGCGTGTACCACCAGGCCTGGCTTGTTGGTTGAAATGAGGTTGGGCTAAATTTTTGCCCAGGCTGACTTTGAACCTTCATCCTCCTGGTCTCCGCCTCCCAAGTAGCTGGGATTAGAGGGTGCAACACCATGCTTGTTCTTCATGACTATTCTTACTGGTTGGATGATGACAGGGAAGAGCTGCTGCTGGATCTGACCTCTCTGACAGGCAAGGTAATGTCATTTCCTCTGAGGCCATGAAGTTGAAAAGATGAGACCTTTTAAGTCCTGATTCCCAGATAGATGGTGGCCTGTTGTCTGATTAGAAACACAAGAGAGAGTCATGTTCTGTGCTCCAGCCTGCATTTGCCTGAATACACATCCTTTGGACAGCTTGGCTTTGCTCACTCGTGACTGGATGCTGGCCCTGGGCTGGGTGCCATATGTAGGGGATCATGGTTTCCAAATGTGTCCTCTGCAAATGTGCCTTCTCTTGAACAGGTGGCCACCTCGCAGAGCCAGCTCTCCACTCACCTCCCCACAGGACAGTAGTTTTCATCTAGGCCCCAAGAATAATGAAGAAAATACAGTCTTTCTAGGGTTCAGGTTCACAAAGGTTTTGCTTCTGTGGTGTCTCAGGAAGTTTTACCCCAAATCCTTATCCTCAAAATGAGCTCGCCTTTCCAGGTGCGTAAGCCAGGTGCTGGTCTATGACCCGGCAATGAACCAGAAGTGGTATTTCCTCTGTAACTCATGGCTGTCCATTGACGTTGGAGACTGTGTCCTCGACAAGGTGTTTCCAGTGGCCACGGAGCAAGACAGGAAGCAGTTCAGGTATTTTTTTCTTCCTTTTTAAGTGGCCTCACAGTCCAGGTGTAACCAAATAAAAGCAAATTTCAGCCAGTGGACTGGGCGTCTTTGAATACATGACTGTCATGACCAGGCTGTCCTGTCAGGAATGAGGGCTCTGGAAGGAAGACACTTCTGTCTTCCAGGCATGGGAATGGTTAGCCGTATTTCTGATCAGTGTCACAAGATAGAGCTTTTCTACATCAGTGGACACAGGCATTTGAATGGAGACTCAGCAGCTGGGCCTTCGGGGCTCCTTTTCCATGTGTTTACCCCAAATGTATCTTCCACTTCTACTACTCTTGTGTCTCCTTCCACACTGGTCTGCAAATGCATTTAAGCAGATGCTAGTGTAAGCACACTCACACACACACGCACACATGTAGATTGATATTTTTAGTGGTATGGGGTTTGAACTCAGGCCTTGAGCTTGCCAGGCAGACACTCTACCACTTGAAATATGTCCCTACACCTTTTTGCTTTAGCTATTTTTCAGATAAGGTCTAGCGTTTGTGCCCAGGCTGGTCTGAACCCCTGATCCTCCTATCTATACTTCACTCTTTGTTGGAATGACAGGTATGTACCACGGCATCTAGCTTATTAGTTGAGATGGGGTCATTTGAATTTTTTGCCTGGGCTGGTCTTAAACATCAATCCTCCTAATCTCTGCCTCTCTAGTAGCTAGGGATAAACCTAGCTACAGCGTTAACCACTGCGCCCAGCCTTATATCTTTTGAAGTGGCACGTTACTCTAAATGTGTTGCCTTTTTCTTTAATAATGTATGGTGACCATCCTTTTGGGAGATGATGTTTGGGTCAAGGTATTTTCTTACTGGTTTTGTAATAGTCCACAGAATGGACGTCACACAGTGAATTCATCCAGTCTTATCAATGGGCAGTAGTCTGTTTCCAGAGTGTTTGTGCAGGTGGCTTTCCTTCCAACTGCCCATTAGGGCCTCCAAGAGGGAAGAACCTAAATTAGAGACTTGGACACAGCAAGAGATACAACACAGACAGTGATATGGACGGTGCATCCCTCATGCCTGCCAGTGGCTTGCTATATGAACATGGACAGTCACGTAACCTCTGAAGGGCTCAGCCTCTATATCTAAGAGTTGTTCAATGTCCCCACCCCAGGGGACATGCACATCCCATGGAGTGACATTTGTCACGTGTTTAACATGGTGTGTGGCTCAGAGTAAGTTCTTCACCCCATGAACAAGTACTATGACTCTGCTGCATCAGAGGATGGGGTGCCTGGAACCTAGAGAGGAGCTCTCTGAAGATAGGGCTGGGTCCTCCTTGCCATGGATCCCTGGTACCCAGCACAGTGCCTGGCACACAGCACTGGGCTCAACATATATTTGTTGAATGAATAAGGCAATGTAGAAAATCACTGTTGGCAATTGGCCTCTCTCTTCGTGTACCTTTAAAGATAGTCCACTCACAAGCCCTAGAGTGGTGGTCAGGTTATTGGATGGCCTTAGAGAGTGCTGACCTTGACCAAGCGGTATAGGCTCCAACTGGAAACCCAATTCTGAAGATGCTCTGAACAATTTAGACCCTTGGGTCACCCTTAAACTATATTCTACTCCCAGGGAAACAACACGGTCTTAATGATAATGGGGCGCCATTTTCAGAGACTGCCTTGTAATTTTTATTCTCTCAAACGGAGCCCAGTTTGAACCCAAATCTGGGGATTTTTAACCACTATCCTCTAGTGCTCTAATTACAAAAAACTAATGATACTGTGATTATATTGTAATTATTATAATTATAGTAAAAATAATAATATGGATACCAATTGAACACTCACCTGCGTGCTAGTACTGTCTCAAATGCTTTACAAAAATGGTGGCTTTGAATCTTTTTGACCATCTACTGAGGTAGGTTCTGTTATTATCTCCATTTTATAGACAAGTAAACTGAGGCACAAAGGGTAACATCACTTGCCTGAAGTCACAGAGCTGGTAAGAAGACAGGCTAGGATTACAACACAGCTCATTTCAGAGTTCCTATCATTAACTTCTGATGCTGATAGGATGCTGGATTTCATCTATAATAGAAAAAATGTATAGGGCAAATCTTAGGAGCAAATCCTTCTCTTTCTTCCTCCCTCTCATGCTAAGAGTGCTCCAAAGAGACCAGTCCCTCTCCACCCTGTCCCTCTAAATACCTGTTCTTCCCTCTCTCCCTCCTGCCTGCAGCCACCTGTTTTTCATGAAAACCTCCTCGGGCTTCCAGGAAGGGCACCTTTGGTACTCTGTCTTCAGCAGCTTGGCTCGGAGCAGCTTCACGCGTGTGCAGAGGGTGTCCTGCTGCTTCTCCTTGCTCCTCTGCACCATGCTCACCAGTATCATGTTCTGGGGTGTCCCCAAAGACCCAGCTGAGCAAAAGATGGACTTGGGTAATTCTGGCTGTCACGATATTCAGGGCTAGTGCCTGGTGGCTATCAGACTTCACTGTCCCAGCAATGCTACCGTGATCCAGAATTTTCATGGAGGCTTGGTCACGTGTGGAAAGTGGCTGCCCACTGTGTGACTGACCTTAGCCTCCAGCCCATCCAGAAGTCATGCATTTGGCTCAGGTCCACTAGAAACCATATTCTTAGCACTGACTATCTGATGTAGCCCAAGGCCCCAGGTAAACAAAGACCCTCTTATCAGGCAGGACATCCCAGACTTACAGGAATTGGGCCTGGCTGAGACTTCAGTGCTCAGCCACCTTCTGTAAGGGTTGGGCAGGCCTGGGCTCTGGGTGCTATCTCTCTCTTTGACCTGTCCCTCCCTCTTCTCCAGGCAAAATTGAGTTCACGTGGCAAGAAGTGATGATTGGACTGGAGAGCTCTGTCCTCATGTTCCCCATCAACCTCGTGATCGTCAGAGCTTTCGAAATGCCCGTCCTCGGGTCACAGAGGATCAGAACCCTGGGAAAAAAGACCACGGGCTCCTCAGCCTGACTCCCTCACCACAGCCAGTGGAGGATAGCCTTCTGACCCCTGAAGCAGTGACCAAAGTATGTCCTCCACCTCAGCTGGTGTGTGTGTGGTGTGACAGAAGTGGGAGTGCAGCTGAGGCTTGGGGCCTGGCATACCTGTGTTGTATGACAGTCTTAGTGCTGAGATTCCTCAGCAGGAGCACATATGTGCGTGTACACATACGTGCACGTGCAGATTTTGGAGTATTTATTGTGTGTAAAATATTCCACCCTCATTACAGACTCCCAGACTGAAAGCCCACAGGAGAGACTCCTCCCCTGCACTCATGTACTGCACAAGTTTTTATTGAGCACTTACTGGGTGCTCATTTTGAGGAATACAGCCTTGAACCCTAGAAGAGGGATTTTAGAGGTGATGGAACAGAGGTTCAAGGAGGTCAAGATTGTGCCTCAGTAGGCAGAGCTGGGGTTCAAAGGCAGATCACCAGGCCCAAGATGCATGCTCTTGAGTGCTTCACTGCACCCCCTTGCTGCTGCTCACGTCCTCTCACCTTGCCTGGGCTGCCTTGCAGGACATGTGGAGATTGGTCAGCTCACTATTTAAAGCTCTGAAGACCCCACTGCCAGCCTTGGGCTGGGACTCTGCGAGTTTGATGGACATCAACAACCTCCTGGCCTTGGTGGAAGACATCGTTTGTCTGCAGAACATGGCCCGGCAGGGGTTTTGGGAGGAAAGCAAAAAGACAGAGGACTCTTTTGCGCTCACTCTTGGGACTATGCATGTGAAAAGTAAGTCCTGGACATTCCAGTGCCAAGGGAAGTGGCTTTCTGCAGCCAGGTGGCTATCTGGCCAGGTCAGAGGGCCATGTCTGGATCACTGAGGATTTAAGGAGCTGTGCTGGGTTCTCCCTCACTCCCTCTATATCTCACGGGCATCTGCTATTCTCAAATGCCAAGCTGCCTTCCACTATCCCTTGAATGTTTTTCCTCCTTTGACTGGCCAACTCGTACTCAGTCTTTAGTCCTGGCTTAAGCGGCCCTTCCTCAGGGACCAACCCAAACCTCCTGGCTATAATAAAGCTCCTGATCCCCTGGTTTTTGGTCCTTAAGATTCCCCTTGCATCCAACCCGCTTATGGTCAAATAACGAATGCTGCTTGCAGTCTGTACCTTCTTGAGGTGGGAGCTCTCCATTCGTCTCACCTTTGCTCAGAAGGACCACCTTTGGGTACTGGCTCCCCTATGGAGCAGCTGTGTGACCTTGGCAAGTTGCCTCCGTTCTCTGAGCCTCAGTTCCTTTCTCCTGTCAAGTGTCAGGGGCTTCAAGTTGAACTAGATGCACTTCCAAATGTGGGGGGGGGGCAGGACCACAAGACGATAAACAGGGCAGTGAAACACAGATGGAAAAAGTTCTTTTCCACCTTCGCTTTCATTCCTCATCATTAGGTCAGGAAGTCAAGGAAAAATCTCAATTGGTGCCACTGTGTCTTCAGTGCTGTTCGGCCACTTGTTAATCATGTTTGGCGTAGGTAATTTGTCTCAAATGCTAGCCTTCTGCAACAACATCCCGCTGGAATTTAGTGACATTTTATTAAGTTCTACCTGAGGCATATTGTTCTGATTTAAGCTGGCTTCCTGAGTCCTCTCTTGCCCCTTTCCTGCCTGTGTAGTGAGCTTACCATCACTGTTATAAATTACCCGAGGTAATAACTTGTAAGGAGGAAAGGTTTGTTTGGCTCACTGTTTCAGGCCATGGCCCTGTTGCTTTGGGCCTGGAGGCAGAACACTATGGTGGCTGGAGGGGTGGTGGGGAGAGGGAGGGAGAACAGCCAAGGTCCCAATATTCCCTTCAATAGCACCCTCAAGTGACCTAATGTCCTTTCACTAGGCCCCACCATCTAAAGGTTCCACCACCTCCCAGTAGCACCACAGACAGTGACCAGGCCTTTAACACACGGTCCTTTGGGGGACATTTCTGGTTCAAACTCTGGCAGTTTTCTGACCAGATCCACACTGCTGGTGTTGAGAGCAGCACCATCCCTAGGACGGATGGAAATGCTCTACAGCTTCTTTGTGGCTGGGAGGGAGGGGGTTGGAATGCTACCAGTGTGCGCTGGATGCTGGTCACTGTAAGTGTGGTCTGCAGAATGGGCAATTTGCTTTCGTGAACTTGGCTCCAGCCCAGATGGAGTGAGCTCGATGGTCTGTGGGGAGGCCAGGCAAGGGTGCTTTATGCCAGTTACTGGGGTGCTTTCCACGCACGTGGAAGGTGGACGCCTCACCTCCTAACTGTAGGACTGGGGCTGTCATGGCCAGGCCCACGCTGACCCCATGCTGCAGTGGCAGGAAGGAGTATGTCCTGGGAGCAGGCATGTGCAGTCTATAAGGCCATCTCTACAGGGCTGTGTTTGCACTGGACACTTAGCCCTGGGTTTGGGGCTTTTGGTAGTAACAGTTGGACATCCTGGCAGTGGACCAGGACCCTTAAGTGGGCCTTAAGTGGCCCTTAAGAATACAGCCAGACAGGGTGCAAGGGCAGCTCTGCAGCTTGGGTCAAGTTGCTCAACCTCTCAGAGATGCACTTTCTTTCTCTATGAAAGAGGAGTATTGAGCCAGCTGGCTTCGCAGCTTGCTGTGAGGACTGAATGAGATTGTAGGACATAAAAAATGCTTAGGTCTCACCTGGCACAGAACAGGCATTCAGTAAGTGGTGTTATGATTGGCAGGGATGGTGTCTTCCCAAAACATTAGCAGGTCTTGCAACACAGAGTGTTGACACAACTCTAGCTGTGGCTTCCGTGAGGGAGGGTGAGGGAGGAGGCTTCCAGTCAGAGGGGGTGAGAGTAGACTTTGTCCCAGGCATTTACCTAGCTAGAGTCAGCATCTATCTGTGATACACATTTTTTAGTCACAACCTTCTCTGGGCACACTTTTTTCTTCCTCATTCATCTGTCACTGGTGACTGAGGGAGAGGCCATGGAGGAAAGGGCTCCAGATGGCCATCTCCAACACCCAATTGCCCCTAGGGACAGTGAACTGGTCCAGAGCCCAACCCATATTGCCACAGGACAATGTGTCCCTGGGTACTAGCCTGCAAGCTGGCCCAGAGACTGGGGCCTGGCTCGACCAATTTGGCACAGGCCAAATTTCTCTTAAAAGGCATAGGGCTTGGTGGAAAGGTTTGAACTTTTTCTATAATAGATATGTTACCTCTCTAATTTAAACAAAAAGATGTTTTCAAGAAAAATTTAAGCAAGCGTGGTAGCACATGCCTATAATCCAAGCTTTTGAGAGGCTAAAGTAGGAGGATCTCAGCCTGGACTACATAGAAAGACCCTGTCTCCAAACCAAAACCAAACAAATGAAAACTCTTAGAGGGCTTGAGGTGTACCTCGGTGGTAGAATGCTTGCCTAGTATGTGTGAGGCCCTGAACTAGATCCCCAGCACCACACACCCCCCCACACCCAACTTAGGAATCTGAAATATGAACCAAACCAACCGTAGAAAGCAAACACGCATGAGCTAAAGAGGGGGATGAAGAGGGGGATGGTGACGGATAGATATTGGACAGTTAATGATTTTTAATCATTTTAAAATTCATAATGCCGTCACAGTGGTGTAAGTCCTTATTTTCTACAGAAATGTCTAAATTATTTCATGAGATGACGTGTGCTCTGGAATCTTCTTCAGAGCTGTCCGTGTGGAGAGAGTGGGTGGGTGCAAGCAGAGCAGCTGGGAGCTGATTCATCTCGTCACCCCCTCGCTTCTGTATGTTTGGAACGTTTCATAACTGAAAGTGTGAAAACACAGGATCAAGACGTACGCCATCTTTGACACTAGATAAAACAGAAGTAATTGTAGATGAGATAATACCATGTCTAGGAGTGGCCTTAAAACACACTTTGGGAGCAGAATGTTGGGGGCAGAGATGAGACAAGATTGGCCAAAAGAACTAATTGTTGCAATGTGGTGGTGGACATGGTATTCTCTCTCTCTCTCTCTCTCTCTCTCTCTCTCTCTCGTTATTGGTGATTGAACCCAGGGCAGGGCCTCGCGCATACTAGGCAACTTGCTCTACCACTTGAGCCACACCTAGTCCTTTGGTTTTCATTTTGTTTTTGAGACAGGGTCTCCCTGGTGATCTTTGCCCAGGTTAGCCTTAAACTCGAGGTCATCCTACATCCACCTCCAAGTAGCTAGGATTAGAAGCATGTCACCTCTCCTAGCTCTTCTCTGTGTGGAAGGAAACTTTGGAACTGTCCCCAGGAAAAATCTAAATGAAAAAATCAAATCCTGGCTGGCCTGTGACCCTAGACCCTCACTCCTCAGTCTCTTGACACCTCAGCTTTCTCACCGCTTGGCATGCAGTTGTTTAAACTCAAAGCCACTACTCTTACTGTTGTTTTTATTGTTGCTGGTTTACTGTCACTTGGCACCAGCTGATCACGTTCCCCCTCGCTCCCCAGAGAAAACACAGCACCTCAAGCCCAAGCTGGCCCAGAGTGGCTCTTGGAAGGACAGCACCTACAGGCAGTGTCTCTACCTTCAGCTGGAATGCATGGAACAAGAGCTGCAGCTGGTGGGGCCCAGGGGGTTCCCGAAGCACCACAGCCATGCCCAGGCCCTCAGGCAGCTGCAGACCCTGAAGAGCTGCCTTAGGGGACAGCCTGGCCTCCTGCCCCCAGCGTGTGCCAGGTAATCCTCTTCTCGGGGGGCTGAGTGGGCTTCTGCCCTCTCCAGCTTGGGGCTGTGGGACAGGACATCCTGACCAACCTTAGAGGGATAGCCGTCCACCCAGACCTCCAGGAGGAAGGGATTCAGGATTTCTGGGGATGCTCAGGGAGGCCAGGGCAAATAGGGCTGTTTGCTGGAAGACACTCGCCGCCGTTTGTGCAGCACTTTTCACAATTTACAATCGTATTCGCACGGCTGTTTCCTAGCTGTGCACCCTCGTACAGTCCTGCATCCTCTCTGAGCCTCGGTTTCTTCATCTGTAAAATGGGAATGCTAGCGTTGCTCTCCTGATTCAAACGTAAAATAAAGTGCCCTTTTTAAGATAACCAGTGAACTTCGAACAGAGACAGGTAATCGGATGACATTAAGGAATTCTTATTAATTTGTTAGATGTGACAATGACATAGTGAGAAAATGATCATTTTTGAGATGCATTCTGAAGTAATGAGGGATAGTTTTGTACCATGTCCCATCCACCATATAAAGGAATAGGAGTGGGGGAGGTGGGGAGAGATGGAACAAGTATGACGTGTGGTGACAGTTGCTGAAACCAATGGAGGAAACTGGGGGTTTGCTGTGCTTACTGGTTTTGTAAGATGAGACATTTTCACAATAAAAAATTTTTAAATTCTGTAGAACCAGCCTTCTAGGCTTGCTATGAGGAATAATAGAGCCAATCTGTGTACAGCAACTGAAAAGGGTAGCATCCTCTAGAATGCACTGAATAAATGCCACTTTTGTTACTTAGCAAAGTACAGAGATGGCCTTCTGAGGTAGGGACATGTTACAGAGGAGAAACTGAGGGTCTGACAGGTCAACGTCACGCAGATGATGAGCTCGGAGTGGGATTTGAACTTGAGCCCACTGCTGGCACCCTGACTGTATCTGTCCACTCTCCTTTGCAGCACTCCTCGGGCCAGCAGGCCCCCTGGTAGCCTGCCCTGGTGGTGTGTCTTGGTGGGCTGGTTCCTGGTGGTGACCACCAGCGGTATGGCAGCCTTCTTCACCATGCTCTATGGCTTGCACTATGGGAGGGCCAGTTCCCTCAGGTGGCTCATCTCCATGGCTGTCTCCCTTGTGGAGAGTGTGTTCATCACCCAGCCCCTAAAGGTCAGGACCCCTGCTCCAAAACGGTTCCCCTCCTCTCTTCTTCCCACCCCCGGCCTCCTAGGAGTAGTCCTATCCTTGGGCTCCAGCCATTCCTTTATTCACTCAACGTACGTTCATAGCGTACCACTTCTGTGCAGGCCCTGGGCAGGGAGGATACCAGGGATGATTACCATAAAAACCCAAGTTATTGGACACTCCAGGCTTAGTGTTGTACTGGGAGGCTCAAATTTCATAATCGCCATCATCCTTAGGATTGCAAGAAATTTTATATGTAAGAAAACTTGAGGTTAAGAAGATCACAGCGGGTAGGGATGTAGCTGGGCGGCAGAGCGATTACCTAGCATACAAGGCCTGGGGATTGATCATCAGCACCCTCCTGAAAAGAAAGAACTCAAGATCACAGATACCTTGCCCTAGCCTATCTGCATATGTGATTATGTGTAATACCTGCTTCCTCAATTCTGAGTTGCTTTTGACTGTGAGATAGGACTACAGTCTAAAGGAACATTCCTTCAGAAAAAACACCCAGGCATTAAATGTGTGCATTAAAAAGTGAAATTCCCCACAAACTATATATTAGAGTTGTAGAAGTTCTAAACTCAGACCTGGAGCTGGGCAGTGGGGGGCACAGCTTCCTCTGGGAGCTCAGGCAGGAGGCAATCCCTGGGGAACCCCTGGAGGAAGAGATACTCTGTTGGGATGGGTGGCAGGGTGGGGGAGACTGCAGGAAGAGGGGAACACTTAAGTAACTCTTTACAACTGTGAGAATTGCCAAGTCCCGCACACCTGTTCTACCCTCTTGTTCCCCCCGGGTATCCTGAACAGCCTCTATGATAAGACTCAAAAAACCTTTGTGGCCTCCCCACTAAGCTAGGCTGGACTATGATGAGCAGGGTGTGTCCTGACTCTTTACTCCCAACCAAACCACAGAATCCTGCTGCTTGTGCACAGCAGGTGAGGGGTGAAGTCGCCCTAGGCAGGTCACCAGGTGAGAAGGCTCAGGTGAGTTCAAGGACTTGCCAGATTCTCTGATAGTGGCCCTTCCTCCTCCTAACAACTGGTCTCTGAAGAGAGTAACCTTTCCCATGGGATGCTTTCGAGCCTAGCTCCTATACCTATTGCACAGAAGGGGCCCAGGCTTGTTCCCTCAGACCAGTCCTTGAGAGCCACCAGCACAGGCTTGGGGCTCATACCAGGTGAGTTCCAGGTGCTGGGCTTTGCTGCTTTCTTTGCATCGGTCTTGAAGAGAGAGGATGAGGACGACACTGCGCCCTTCCTGCCAAGATATCTGCGTGGCCCAGGTAATGGGGCCTTGGTGGGAGGGGCACTGGTCTGGCTGCCTGGTGGTCTTGAGAGGTGGAGTATGCCTGTGGAATCCAGCCTCTGGGGGGTCCTGGGCCTCACTGATTCCCAGACTTCATTCTGCACTAGCCTTCACTGGGATTTGTGACATCCCAAAGCAGCCAGAAAAAGTGTTAACCTTCTTATTTCTCTGATACCCTAGCCTGGTCCTTCAGCCAGAAGAGCCCATTGGGAGCCCAACTCCCTGCCTTGGCCATTCTCTGTGTAATCCCAAGCATGCAGCTTTCTTCCCCAGACACAAGTGGCTGGGCTTTAGAATGAAAACCAAAAGACATTCAACTTGTAGGTGGGCTGCAAAAAGTGGCTTCAAACTACCTTTTAGGAAAATCAGTGGGCCAACTCTTCCCCATACCTCTTTTGGTTTGGGTTTTGGTTTTTGCGGTACTGGGGACTGAACTCCACGCCTCAAGCACTCTACCACTTGAGCTAAAACCCCCTGTCCCCCTGCCTGCTTGTATGAAGATTTACAAGGACATAGCACTGTGACCTCTGGCCTAGGAGGCTCAGTCTGACTTCTAACTTCCTAACTGGAACCCTGAGGTTGCTGACAACAAGAGCACACAAACACACAAGCCAACAGCACAGAATCAAACTTCTATGAGTCATTTTTTTATTTACAGGGAACACAGTCAGGAACCAGCAAACCAAAGCCCCCATGCACACATCGTTATGCAGTGCAGGCCTCTTTCTGGGCCTGAATTCTTCTACTTTAGGATAGAGTTTTGGCCTTGCACTTCCAAAAGCCCATTAAAATCTTTCAAGACAGAGTAATTTTTCTCCAAAGAGACGCCAGCCTCTAGACCAATTAAATATTCATTCAGTTATTCTTTTGGCAAATCTTCAGGGAGCTCTGTCTGTGTGCCAGACAGTGAAGGCTCAGGGACATAATTTACACAAAATTCACCCATTAGTGGCATTCAATTAAAATGTAGTAAATTTACAGAGTTTTGTCACCATTGTTGCAATCCAGATTTGAAGAAGCTTTGTCACCTCAGGAGGGGCCCTTTGGCCCATCTGAAGTCACTCCCTACCCTACCCCCAGCTCCAGGCAACAGGGCACTGACTGGATGGAATGGGTCACTGCTCCTGGAATAAGCAGGCCATCTGGGGAGGTGACATCTCAGTGTGAATTCTGGAGAGAACGGAGGGGGGGGGTGGTGTGTTTGAGGAGGAACCAAACAGGGCAGTCCTCTCTGCTGAGGTGGCACCTAAGTTATCCCCTGAAGTATGGGGAATAGGAGGAACTGCACACGGGACATGTGCAAAGGCTCTGAGGTGCAGTGGAAATGATCATTTTACAGCAACCACTGACAGTACGGCAGGAGTACAGGATGTTGGGATGGTGGAGATGGTGTAAGCTGAGGGTGGAAAGGGCCAAGGAAACAGATCCTGCAGGGCCTTGGTTTTTTAAATTTTATAAGGATTACTGTGGTTGATTTTGGAGACCTTAGGTATTAGGTCACAAGTGGAAATGGGGAGACCAGGAAGGAGGGAGGCAAGAGATGACAAATGCTGTTGGCAGTGGGGGAGGAGGGTGACTGAAAGCCATAAATCCAAGACAATTGGGTCCATACACGCTTAGAGGATTGGCTGAAGTGTCAAGTAGTGATAACATTTGGTGAGTGTGGGTCTTCTGGTTGCAAACTCAGAGCCTGGTCCCACTGCTGGGTGGGGATTGCCCTGGTATCCTTGTCTACACAGGCCCCTATGCCCGGTTCCAAACACGGAGACGTAGCAGCAAGGAGGACTACCAGCCACTTCTTGCCACCACTGTAGAGAAGATGAAAAACATCCGCCTCAAGGAACAGAAGGCATTTGCCCTCATCAGAGAAATCCTTGGTAGGCAGCCTTCCCAGGCACGGTTCTCAACCTAGATTCAGCTTGTAGTCTTTCATAAGTCCCTTACAGGGACTTCTGAACCGCAGTTTCCCTAGATGATGTTTCACTGTACTGAAAATCTTTTGACTTTAAGGTCTGAGCTCCCTCCTATGGCTCCACCCACCTCAAGTCTCCCCTCTGGGTTCCCTGTGCCCCAAGCTGCAGCTACAGCAGCTTCTACAGCTCCTGGGACTCTGTGCCCTCGTCCAAGTCCTGGCTTTTGACTAGACTGTGTCATCTTACCTGCATGAAATGTGTCCACCTTTCTCCCACATTTTCTTATTCCTTGGCCCAATCACTGTGCCTGCAGAAAGGCTTTCCCTGACCTTTTGTATATGTCTTCATGGGGTCCCTCAGATGCAGACCTGGACACATAGTTCACGTAAGAAGTGATCCCAGCAGCACTGGCAGGAAGGAAAGAGCAGTGGGGAGTATTCATGAAGCTGAGATGGAGTGCAACCAGGGGTTCAGTCCTGCTAGCAACTGTTCTGAGCTCTGTACCATTCTACTTCCTGCTATGGACTTGGTGGGAGTCAAGGTCCCTGCCTCAGTGGGGGCTGTGCATCTTTTCCAGCATACCTGGGTTTCCTGTGGATGCTGTTGCTGGTGGCCTATGGGCAGAGGGACCCCAGTGCCTACCACTTCCACAGGCACCTTGAGCAAAGTTTCACCCAAGCCTTCTCAGCTGTGTTGGGCTTCCAAGAGTTCTTTGAGTGGGCCAATACCACCCTCGTGAACAACCTGTATGGTCATCACCCAGGTACAGTCCCCTGGCCTCAGAACTTCGCACCAGACCCCTAGAACATGTTGCTATCTGGGAGCAGGTGTAAGTCACTGACACCTGCTATTTTTCATAAGAAAAACAATAGCCCAGGATCATGCTATGAATGAGATCCCCTCAGAGGGCCCCTCACAATGATCTGTGGGTGCTGCTGCTAACACCAGGGAGGGGCCACCAGCCCTCCTTGAGCCAGGTGGAGAGCATATCTTATTTTGTTTTTTGAGACAGAGTCTTGCTGTATAATGCAGGCTGGTCTTGAACTCCCAATCCTCCTGTCTCAGCTTCACAAATGCTGGGTTTACAGGTGTGAATCACCACAAAGCTTGGAGAATGTCTTAAGTGAGAGATAAGCAAGTCTTAATTGGCTAGGCAGGAGGAACAATGGGAGGCAAGCCAAGCCCACCACACCACAGCAGGGCCTTAAAACTACAACACATGTAGCTATCATGGCGGGTGAGTGAAGTAGAGCAAGAGAGATAAAGACCAGGCCATGAAGGAGCTCAGATGTTCACATTGTATCCTCCAGGTTAGGGGGTACCTTGGGTGGATTCTACAAGAGGAAGCAACATGGCTTTGGAAGCACGTGAGCCCTGGAGTGGAGAGTGAGTGAGCCGGGATGTCATGGAGACAAGATGAGGGTTGATGCAGGGACACGGTGATGGAGAAAAGGGATGGATGCATAAAACAAGGACGCAGCAGCATTGCTGGGACTCAGTGACCATTGGGATGGAAGGGTTGAGGAGAAGGATACGGGTTCCCTGTGAGAACTTACGCAGGGAGTAGAATAGGTCCAAGATGGACAGATGGGAGGTCCTCTGGATGAACATAGTCTATATTTGGCCATGAGCTCTCTTGGCTGTCTCTCTAATGGCTGCAGTGAAGTTCATATCAGCATCCAGGCTAGCGAGCAAGGGATATGTTAAGATGATTTCACTTGTTAGACTTACTCTCCTATTTTTCATCTTTAGGCTTTGTCACTGATGGGAACGCCAAGCTGGTTGGCAGTGCCCACATTCGCCAAGTGAGGGTCCGGGAAAGCTCTTGCCCTCTTGCCTCTTGGCTTCTTTTGATGGATGCCATGCACCATATTCTCTGGATGTGGAAGACTTGGCAGATTATGGGGAGGGTTGGAATGCCTCCACCCTCAATAACAGCAGTGGCTTTCCCCAGGCTTGGCAGTACCAAAGCCAGAGCCAACGTCAAGGTTATCCCATGTGGGGCAAACTCACTGTGTATGGGGGAGGAGGCTATGTCGTCCCCTTGGGGACTGATCGCCAAAGTGCATCAAGGTAATGCTGACTCTATTCTTTTGCAGCTGAGTAAAGACATTTGCTATAGTACGTGTTGGATTAGATCATGCAGCCTTCAAAATAGAGCTGGGCCAAGTTCATTTATGTCACTGTGGAAGGGGCTGGAACATTCAGATTGAATTTTCAGGTCTCTGGAAACTTCATTCCCAGAGTTGGAAGGGAAGTTCCTCTCCAGCTAGTGTACACACACACACACACACACACACACACACACACACACAATTCCATTTTCTCCTCACAACGATCTGGAGGTGCTGTTGCTAACACCATCATAGATGAGGAAACCAAGGCATGGAGAAGTTATTAGCTTGCCCAAGAGACAGCCAGGGTTTGAGCCCAGGTCCCTCTGCCACCACCAGGACACATGCTTTTTCCACCATGTCAACCTGTCAGATCTCAGGAGCTGGTCTCGTGGGAGCTGCCAACCCAGAAAGGACCCTGGCAGCTGCTGCTGCTGCCTACCTAAGCCCCCGATGCTTACGTGGTTCCTCCAACACCACAGTTCTCAGACTTAAAAAGAATTCCACTCCCCTGGACAGAGGGCTCACCCAAGCACGTATTCTTAGACCCCAGACCTGGCATTTCTAATGCATCAGTTCTTGGTGGAGTCTGAGAAGCTGTATTTCCAACAAGTTCCCGGATGCTAGTCTAAGGGCCCTCCCCCCACCCTTTTTGAGAACCTCTGTTCTAACGGTACTAACGACAGTAAGTACCAAAATATCATATCATGCCATGGACTGGCAAGCTGTGACCACACACAGGAGTAGCTCTAGCAGTCTGGGAGCAGAGTGGAGACAGAAGGACAGGGTTTGAACAGGAAATCTTGCATTGTCCAGGAACTGAGGGATGGGGGCACCCGCATGATGGAGAATATCCCAAATGCCCCTCTGCCCCACAGAATTCTCCAGTATCTCTTTGACAACACCTGGCTGGACACTCTGACAAGGGCTGTGTTTGTGGAGTTCACTGTCTACAATGCCAATGTCAACCTATTTTGCATTGTCACACTCACACTGGAGACCAGCGCTCTGGGTGAGCTGCCTCGCCTGGACCCCCTCCACTGGGCTGCCTCTCCTGACCCAGCTGGGCCCCACTGTACCCAGGCCAGGATTCCAGGGAAAATAGCTATTTGGGAAGTTTGAAGGTATGGGTCTTGGTTCACCTTGCTGCTGTGTATCCCCAGCCTCAAAGGCAAGGCACTGAGCTGCCCTAGCTTTGATCCGCTCTTCTCTGGCCTTGTCACTAAAAAATTTTTACAATGGGATTTTTAAAAGGAAAAGACAGGCAAGTGTCTTTAAAAGCAGATTGACTCTTTGGGCATACTGGTCACTAGATAAACTGGTCTTCACCTGGAGTAAGTAGACTGTGTTAACCTGGTGGGTGTGCTCTGGCTGGAGGTGCCATGCACCCCTATGTAGAGGGTTGGGGGGATCTTCCACTGCAGCGCCTTTGTCCCTTCTGATGCATCCATCGTCTCTGGCACGTGTCCACGCTTAGTTCCTGGGGTGTCTTCGTCTTCTCTGCCTGCCAGCCCTCAGAAAAGCTTGAGTCAGGCTACTGTCAGAGGCGGTGGCTCTGAGCAGCAGCTGTGGTGAGCAGAAAGTGCTTTGCTCCCACAGGAACCTTCTTCACACACGTGGCCCTGCAGAACCTGCGCCTGTACCTCTTCACAGACGGCTGGCACCCCTTCGTGGTGGCAGCAGAGCTCATTTACTTCGTCTTCCTCTTCTATTACATGGTGGTGCAGGTGAGGGGGACATGGGACTCCTAAGACTAGGGCCTCTGAGCTTCCCCAGGATTTGTAACCCTGCCAGGGGCCCTCCTGTGTGTTGGGGCAGTCAGGCCACAGCCTTCTGAATCACCGGGGGCTCCTTTCCCAGGGCAAGTTCATGAGGAGGCAGAAGTGGGGCTATTTCTGCAGCAAGTGGAATCTTCTGGAACTGGTCATCATCCTGGCTAGCTGGAGTGCCCTGGCAGTGTTTGTGAAGAGGGCCATCCTGGCAGAGCGTGACCTCCAGCGCTACTGGGAGCACAGAGGGGGTGAGTGGTTGCCTCTCAGCATCTCTGCCCCTGCTGGTCCTTCTTTCTCCAGCTGTCAGAGGGAGACTCTGGGGACTCTGAAGGCCTTTAGCCTATCACAGGCACTCCTAGCAGAAGTAACTGCAGCTACCACCTAGATTTAGGTGTGGGGCCTGGAGCATCCACAATTGGAGAGAATTCTTTAAGGCAAAATATAATACGATCTGCAGGGCCATGCAGCATCGGCTTACGTTCCCCCCAGTCTTTGGGAAGAGCTTTTGCAAGGAGTAGTTCCCCAGTAAGCCTGCCTCTGCTACCATGTGTCAAGTATCCTCTGTGTGTTAGGCAGGGCACATTAACTTGAAAGCCCTAGCACAGAGTGGATATATGTCTGATGTATTCGTATGACACTGAGCCACCGACGAGGGCAGATGTTATCATTGCCTGTCTAACAGGGAAATTCAGGCTCAGAGAGGTCATGGGACCCACAAGGCTGCGCGACTTGAAGGTGGCAAAGAAGTAATTTAAGTGGAGTTTGTGTGGTTCCAGGATTGAATGGCTTTTACTTGGATAATTGCGTTTCTTGTCTCACTCTTTTTAAATGTTATATCTAACCTTTATTAAGTTATTACTGGAAGTTTCAGGTTGTCATAAAAATGCCAGTTTAAGAGCACTTTCTCTGCTGGGCACCGGTGGCTCACGGAGGCTGAGATTAGGAGGATCACTGTTTGAGGCCAGCCCAGGCACATAGTTCACGAGACCCCATTTCCAAAAATAACCAGAGCATATGGACTGGAGGCGTGGATCAAATGGTAGAGTGCTTCCTTTGTAAGAGCGAAGCTTTGAGTTCAAACCCCACTTCCACCAAAAAAGTAAATCAAATAATAATAATAAAAGCACTTTCTCACCTACTTTAATCCTCCTGAGACCACTAAGAGAGGACATCATCATCACCCTTAATGTAAATGAGGACATCATCTGCTATGAGGCTCAGAGGGGTTGTTTGCGCAATGTCCACAGCAAGCAAATGCAGGACTCAGAATTTGAGCTCCATTCCCAACCTCCACTCTAACATGGCCTCATCCATTCAACAAACCAGCAGTGAGCTCTGCTTTGCGCTACACCCACGTTCTCAAACCAAACATGTGACAAAAACTCTACCCTCTGTGAAGGCGTTTAAGCAGCACTTCTGTTTTCATTCAAGCTGATGGCGGACTGATGCAAAAGTTATTTCTAAAACTTAAAGGTACAAGTTCTTTAGCTCTAGAAGTGGTCAACAAAGAACAAGGGGGATGGGGAGCAAATTCAGCCCTGCTTTTGTAAAGAAAGTTTTTTTTTTGTTTTGTTTTGTCTTTTGTTTTTTGCGGTGCTGGGGCTTGAACTCAGGACCTGCACTTTGAGCCACTCCACCAGCCCTTTTTTATGATGAGTCTTTTCGAGATAGGCTCTCGCAAACTATTTGCCTAGGCTGGATTTGAACCTCGATTGTCCTAATCTCTGAATCCTGAGTAGCTAGGATTACAGGTGTGAGCTACCAGTGCCCAGCTAATAATTTTTTTTATTTGTTTGGTTTTTGGTTTTGGTTTTCTGAGATAAGAGTCTCACTGTGTAGCCCAGAATGGCCTCAAACTCCCCATCTTTCTACCTCAGCCTCCCCAGTGCTGGGATTACAGATGTGAACCACCACACCCAGCTGTAAGTAGAGTTTTCCTGTAACACTGACACACGCATTTGCTCACATAATGTGTGCTGCTTTCCCACTACCATGGCAGCATTGAGTCATTGTGACAGAGCCCATCTGGGCTACACAGCCTCCAGTGTGGACTCCCTGGCCCTGTACAGAGAAAGTTTGTCGGCCTAGAGAACAAAGCTCTAGGAAGGAACAATGCCGAGTTCGTTGTAGGTCACCCAGGAGTGAGGTCATTGACCACAAGTTGTGACCATCACTCTGTCCTCCACTGGTCATGCTGGGATTCTGCAAAATGATCGAAGACATGTTTCATCCTTTACATCCATGCAGGTGGTCTTATTTGTGTGGGTTGAAAACAATTTCACAGCTGAGACTTCTTTTTTTATACTGAATGTCATGTCAGAAAACATAAACAAAAGCTACCAGTGTAACAGAAACCTGAGAATAGTTTGAACTCTTTTTTTTTTTTTTTTGGTGTGCTGGGGAATTGAACCCTGAAACCGAGGGACTCAACCCATGCTTGCTCTACCACCGAGCACACCTGGAAAACCCAAGTGCATTCAAGTTTGAAACTTCTCTTAGAACCCTCAGTTGAATTTGATTAATTTATTAACCAAAGTTTTGTTTTTATTTCAGAAACTTGTAAATTTCATTTTGTTGTTAGAATAGATAAGCTGTTTTTACAGCCAGGACCTGATGAAACCCAGGGCCTTGATACATGGTAAGCACACATTCTACCACTATACACCCCAACCCAGGTCCTGAATTTAATTAAACACTTTTCAAGACAAATGATTTGCTTCCTGGCTCCATAATCCAGGGTTCTCAGCCTTGGCCCTCAGTAGGATCAAGGAGGGGGAAGAATGAATCCTGCTATCCTGGCTCTTCCCAGACCCACTTGTTCCGTGTTGGGAGGTAGTCCCCCCCTGGTATTTCAATGTTCCCTGTGCTATTTTAATATGTAGTCAAGGTTGAGACCGTGTTTCAGTGAAAGCCAATTGCCTCCATAAGGGAGGGCACACAGATTGTTGTTGTTTCCACACATTGAGCAATAAAATTGCATGAGCGGGTTAAGTATTTTAAGAGACCTAAGAAGGGCTGCAGGAGCCCATAGCAGCTATGCATTCCAGCAACTCCTATCTGCTTGAAGAGGAGGGAGGCTCTGGAAGGCCAGAGACTTAGGTAGCAGCATGGTTCTCACTCAGGCCTGGCCAGGACCTGAGGTGGCAAAACTAGTCCACACATCTGCTCCCTAAGCGTGGCTCTGCTGAGCGCTGTCCTCAGTGGCATCTAAGAGCTCAGAGAATGTAAGGGAAAGCTCTCAGCGGGGGAAGGCAGGCTCTCATTAACCTGTTCAGAAAGGCTTCTTCAGTAACATGACTGTAAGGCTGACCTGAAAAAACATGTCCACATACAACTTTAAACTAGAAAAACAGATTTAAAAGAGTTTGAGTCATACCAGGCATGGTGGCTTACATCTGTAATCCAAGCACTTGGGAAGCTGAGGCAGGAGGACCATTTGAGCCCAGGAGTTTGAGTGCAACTTGGGCACCATAGTGAGACCCCATCTCAAAATAACAGCATTTAAATATATCATTATCAACCCCATTGTCACCTTTCATCCCTGTCATCATCGTTAAAACCACATATTGGTTGGTCTATTTCTAGAAGAATACATGTAGGACGAGGGGTGTAGCTCAAGTGGTAGAAGCCTTGCCTAGCAAGCCCGAGGTCCTGGGTTCTAATCCCTAGTACTACAAACATACACATGCATATGTATATACATACACACACAGAAACATGCACACACATATGTGTGCATAATTATTTATATCTTCTACATTTATACATTAAAGCATATGTTGTTTGGTCTACTTTCTTAGCAGGATATACATCTATTCATACATATATGCATATGTGTGTGTAATTCTTTATAGTGGACCCTTGGTATCTACAGGTATATGGTTCCAAAGAGACCGCCATTGAGGAAAAATCGTGACTGCTCAGGATGCACAGAGTTCACTACTGTAAAAGTACTCAAATTTGTCTCTTCCGTATGTACAGTAGATCTGAACATCCGAACAGGCATAACATGAAACTGCATGGAGTAGGCTTCATTACTGCCATAAATATTGTAGTGCATATTAATCCCAGCCTCCAAAAACTAGATCTTATTTCATGCTGCTCATCTCAAATACTGTGGATGCTTGATTCATTTCCCATGGGGAAAGACATGCTGCCTTTAAACAAATCTCAAAATTTCACTTTATCACTTCAGTTAAGCACACTAAGTGCCCCTGTTTGGCTTGGAAGGTATTTTGGGCCCCATTTACTTTTGGACAAAAAAAGGAGGCATATTTTCACAAAATGAAGGGCAGGGAAGCCCTCAGCAGAGCACATGATTTAAACACAACTGACAATATCATGGGACTGACTGAGAGCTTCTCCCATCCACTGAGCTACAGAATGCATGGGCAGGAATTTAACGTTTTTGTTTTTGAAATTTCTTTTTTTTCTTTTATTATTAATATGTGCATACAAGGCTTGGTTCATTTCTCCCCCCTGCCCCCACCCCCTCCCTTACCACCCACTCCGCCCCCTCCCTCTCCCCCCCCAATACCCAGCAGAAACTATTTTGCCCTTATCTCTAATTTTGTTGTAGAGAGAGTATAAGCAATAATAGGAAGGAACAAGGGTTTTTGCTGGTTGAGATAAGGATAGCTATACAGGGAGTTGACTCACATTGATTTCCTGTGCGTGTGTGTTACCTTCTAGGTTAATTCTTTTTGATCTAACCTTTTCTCTACTTCCTGAATTAATTTCTTTTATTATTTATTTATTTTTTCATGTGCTTCGTTAAAACTGGGTGTAATAAATCCATGAACAAGGTGGTCTTACATAATTAATCACATTTAATATGCCTATATTACAATTATATTATTTATAGAAGTTTATATCTATGACTTTTATTTTTGGTCCTGCAGATGAACCCAGGGCCTTGCACCATGTACTCTACCACTGGGCTAGAACCTCGACCCCTAATTCATAGCGTTTATATATTATATATTAATGGTTATTGCTATATTATATAAAATTATATATGTATTAAATGCTTCTACAAACTTGAGATCATATATTTCAATAACTTATTTTTCTCCTTCATGTCAATGTAGTCTATGTCATTTTTAATGTCACAGTAATATTAAGACTATTTTGACGTTCAAAGTAACTAGAGTAGAATGAAGGGCAAGGTGTGATATTGGAGAGAACCTGGGCTTAAAAAATCAGATACACCTGGATCCAACTCATTCTTCTACTCACAAGTTGTGTTCCCAGTACACTAACTGTGTAACTTTGTATCAACTCTCGTCCTTATCTATGAAATGGAGATAGCAGGACTCACTTCATCTTGAAGTTAAAATGAGACATCTAATAATGTCTTCACTTAGCACAATTGGATTGTTTTTCCACCCTTCCTTTAAACAGAAGGGAAACAGGCGCCAGTGGCTCACCCCTGTAATCCTAGCTACTCAGGAGGCAGAGATCAGGAGGACTGAGTCTTGAAGCCAGCTCAGGCAAATAGTTTGTGAGACCCTCTCTTGAAAAAGCCCGTCACAAAAAAGGGCTGGTGGTGACTCAAGGTGTAGACCTTGAGTTCAAGCCCCACTAGTGCAAAAAAAAAAAAAAAGAAAGAAAGAAAAGAAAACAACAACTAAAAAACAAACAAAAAGCCATAAGGAAAGCTGTGAACATACACTCAGACAAGTGTGCAGTGGGCGTGGCACCTAGTGACCCCAAAGCAGGGAGGCTCACAGAAGTACCTTCCCTCCATCTTCTTGACCCTGACATGCTTCCTCCTTCACTATTCTTCCACATTAATCAAGCCTAGTTAAAGGCCCTATGAATAAGTTGCTGAGTCCTTAAGACCCCATCATCACGATTTCCATCACCACCAAAATCACCTCTCTTCCCCATCATTACTGTCACCACCTTCAACATCACCATCACTATCACTTGCATCCCCATCATCCCCATCACACCCGGTAACATCTTCATCGCTGTCATCCACATCCCCATCCTCATCACTCTCATTATTCTCATCACCATCTTCGTGTCACCACCGTCATCATCACCATTACCGTCATCTCCTAGCTGGGGATCTGGGACCACTTTGTCTTCTAGGCCTGCTTCTGGACATTATGGCTTCTGCGATCATGGCAAGTCTAGTCCTGCATCCTGGGACAGTGAGAAAGCAAATGCATCCAGATGGACTCCAGCTGTAAAGCCCTGGTCTCTGAGCCTTCCCCTTTTGGTCCCACAGGGGGGTCAGTTTCAGTGAGACAGCAGCAGCTGACGCTGCCCTTGGATACATCACTGCCTTCCTGGTCCTCCTGTCCACGGTGAAGCTTTGGCATCTTCTCAGGTTGAATCCCAAGATGAGCATGATCACATCATCCCTGCGCCGTGCCTGGGGCGACATTTCAGGCTTTATTACCGTCATCCTTGTCATGCTCCTGGCTTATTCCATTGCGGTGAGTGGCTCCTTTGGGCAAATCTCAGGGCCAGCCTCTATGAAGCCAGGGCTACTTGGTGGTATGGAGTGGACAGTTAGGGTTGGGGAAATGCTGGGAACCTAGGGAGATGGTTCAGTCTGTGTCTTTTAGATGGGAATCTCATGATTTATACACCTCTAATGGCAAAGATGGGGACCGTGGAAGAGTATAAGTGAAGAGGCATGAAGGATTCCCTTCAGCAGTTACACCTTCCTTGATAGGCCAGTTCTCCAAATGCCCTAATGCCTCAGAAGGCACATGGTTAATTCCTAGATGTTTGCAGAGCATGCCCACTGGGTTGGTGTATGAACTGGGCCACAGAGTCCCTGAGTGAGGGCAGAGATGAAGGAGGGGTGGAAATGACCATGGGGTACACTTGTGCTTGCCACCCTAGGCATGAGGCATGAACTTGGTAGGGCCTATGCTATTTCATTTGACCCCCATTTTGACATCTATTTGTGACTGGAAAAACAAACAAACAAAAATGAAAATGAAACCCAGTGTTAAATGTTCAACTCTTTCTTATTATGAGGTAATATGAGAAATAAAGACCCTCTTCTGACCCTTTCCACATCCTCACCTCCATCAAAATCCATACCCCCAACTCTGAAACTCAACAAGTCCATGATTTCCTCCACACCCTGGAGCCCACCCACCTTTTGAGTCTTTAGCCCTGTGTTGACCCTCTCTTCACTTTGACCTCTTCCCATTCTCACCTCAGCCCCATCCAGTCTCTCACTTCCCACCATTCCCTGACCATATATATTTTCCACCAGTCTACTATATGTTAGACCCCACTCTACACCTATCCCTCACCCCACTGTACATCCCTACCACCACTGTCCTGAGCTCTCCTTCCATCCCTGGTACCCTCCATCTTCTTTTCCTACTCTCAGAAAGTGGGGCTGGATTAGATGTGATATTGCACTCCTGTAATCCCAACTATTCAGGAGGAGGAGGTAGTGGGATAGCAGGAGGCTGGCCCCTATCTAAAACAATAAACTAAAGCAAAAAGGACTGGGGCATGGTTCAAATGGCAGAGTGCCTGCCTAGCAAGCATGAGGCCCTGAGTTCAAACCCTAATTCTGCCAAAAAGAAAAAAGAAACCGTGTGGGTGCATTGATGGAGTGATGGAGGGTATATGCTGCAAAGGGTGGTTTTTCTGAAAGTCCCCCGTATGTATGCGTAGCTCATGTGGATTGATTCAGTCCTCCGTCTGCAGTTCAGAGTCATTGCAGTGACCCCTGAGACCAGAAGTCACCACCTCAGAGTTAAGAGGTTCTGGTTTTCCTCTAACATCACAGCCCTAAGAAAGTCTTGGGGATGGGTGGTGGTGGTGAGGGAAAATGTGGCAGGGAATAGCCCTGTCCAGACAAAAGCAGCCCATAGTCCCTCCAGCAGAGTTGGAGCCTCAGAACACTCCGTTCTGTCGTTGCCTCTTTGAGCAGCCATCTGGTGACTGCAGCAGAGGCTTAGCCCAGAGGAGCTTGGAGAGCTCCTGCAGCTGGTGGGTGCCAACAAGCTGTGATTGCAACCAAGGTCCTGGACAAGGTCATCTGGGAAGATGCTTCCAGAGCGCGCAACATACATACACTCAGGCACATGTGTGCAGGTTCCAGTGCCCATAGGAGTACACATGCACACTCTCACATAGGCACACATGTGTGGTCTTGCAACACACAAGGCCATGGAGAGAAACACACACATCACACACCCAACTGGGTGCATATACACACCCATTTCAACAACAGCCAGGCTGAGGAGGTGGCTGACACAGGTCACTGTATGGAAAAGCAGGATTTGAGGCGCTCCACACTGTCTTCCCGTTCATCAGTACTCTTTCCATAACAGTTGAACTCAATATTTTAAGTTCAACTTGGTTGAACTTAAAAGTTCAAGTTGAATTTTAAGTTCAACTTGGTTGGAAACTCCGTTCCTACAAAAGCCTCTCTGATGCGGCAGAAACGCTGATCAGCCTTCAGCTGGGGATCTTCAACTATGAGGAGGTAAGAGGGGGTCTGGACCCGTCTTCATGAAAATTAGAAAATGTGCTTCCCACCCAGCCTCCCTCATGTCACTCTCCCCCATCCCACCCCGTGGGTATGTGGCCTGGCAAGCACTGGGCAGCTTTGGACAAGTGAAAATGTTTCTCTCCTTCTAGGGAGCCTGCCCTGGGGACCCTGCTTGCAGAAGAGCTCCAGGTGTTGGCTGCTCAGGGGAGGGCTGTCCTGGGGTGAGGGGGACTTGTCTCCAACTGGTCATTTCTGGCCAGAGGCAGCAGTGGGCAGGGGTGCTGCCTGCTCCCTCTCAGTAGAGCTCTTCCTATCTGTTTAGCCCCATGCAATGGGAGCCTTCTTGGCTCCAGGCTCTGCCCAGCTCTGAATACCCTTCTTGGTTTCCTTCTTGGTGGGGAGGTGGCCACTTGGACATGGACACGGGATACCAGAAATAACTCTGACTTTCTTCCTGTCAGGTCTTGGACTACAGTCCAGTGCTTGGCTCCTTTCTCATTGGGTCCTGTATTGTGTTTATGACATTTGTGGTGCTAAATCTGTTTATTTCTGTCATCCTTGTGGCCTTCAGTGAGGAACAAAAATATGATTAGGTGAGCTCCTTTGGCCTATTTATCATGTCATTGACCTTAAGCGATGTTAGATTTAGGGGAACTTGAGAGACCATTGTAGCTCAAAGCTCTAATTTCACAGGAGGGAAACTGAGGCCTAATAGCAAATTACTTCATCAGGGTCACAAGCAAGGGGCAGAGCAGGAGTCAGAACCAGGCATCTTGATTCCTGGCTTAGGACTGTTCACTACCCCAGTGATTCATTGCTAACTGCACAATGATTCACTTGCAGCCTTTTGGAGACTACAACTGCCTGTTCTGAGTCCAACACAAACAGAACCTCTGGGGAATTACCACATGCTGGTATTTTTGAAATCTCCCTGGGTGATGTTAATGTGTTGCCAAAATCAAGAATCTGCACCATACTCAGAAACTTTAACCTCACAAAGTGGCTTGGGAGGGATGAACTGGGGCCTTGAGGTCAACTTTCTACCATGAAGACTGTTGGTTGCCTGTCCCCTGTAGACTCTAGATTATTACCCACCCTCACCATCACTTACAGAACGCTTTCTTCACAACAGACTTTGTGCAGAAGACCCTGTACAGTCAATTTTATTTAATTCTCAAAATAAAGTGCCCGGAGCCGGTAGTTCATGCCAGGAATCCTAGCTACTCAGGAGGCAGAGATCAGGAGGATCACAGTTCAAAGCCAGCCTGGGAAAATAGTTTATGAGACCCTATCTCAAAAAAAAAAAAATCACAAAAAAGGGCTGGTGGAATGGTTCAAGGTATAGACCCTAAATTCAAACTCCAGTACTGAAAAAAAAAAGAATCTTGATGAAGGGCTGGGGCACAGTTTAAGAGGTAGAGTGCTTTCTTTTCATTCCCCAGAATTTCCTCCCATGTCAGGCTAGGCCAGGAGGTAAACAGAGAAAGCAGAAGTAATAATAAGAGCTGGCAGTGTGGCTCAAATGGTACAGTGCCAGCCTAGCAAGTGTGAGGCCCTGAGTTCAAATCCAAGTATAGCAAAAAAGAAAAAAAAGAAGTAGCAATAACAAGACACAGAAGAAAGAGCCACTCTCAGAAGAGGGTCTGTATGATGCCAGTGCTGCTTAAATTCAGATTCAATACCCCAGCTTTCTCTGTCAAGTTTGGGATTTAAAATGCCACTAGAAAAACCCAGGCAGACTCAGCAGTGAGGAAGAAAGAGCCCACAGGGGACAAAGGAGAAAGTGTATACCCCTTCTTTGGGAAGAAAAGCCCCAGAAGGAGGCCATCCCAGCCCTAGAGCAACCTTAAAGATGAAATGACTTTAGGCTGGGACCATGTAGTACAGTAAAACCATGGTTTCCCCTTAGAAAGCAAGTCCCTGTAGAAAATGGCTCAGATATGTTATTTGTTCCTTTCTCCCTTGCAGCTGTCGGAGGAAGAAGGAGAGATTGTGGATTTGCTCCTGATGAAGACACTCAGTTTCCTGGGTGTCAGATGTAAAAGAGAGAGGCCTCTGAGCAGTGGTGAGCAGCCCCAGTCACCCTCTAAGACTCTGTTCCCTCAGCAGGCACAAGCTTTGCCCAGGCTTTAAGCTGCTTATCTACCTGATGGTCTCCGTGTGGGGAAGGTCAGAGACCTAGGCCTGCACTTACCAGTGATTCTGTAGTCTCTCCAGAGCACTGGTTTTTGTGTCTATATAAGAGGTACTGAGCCCAGCAAGTAAGATAGTAAGAATATGTACTTACACAGAATCGCCACGACTGAGAGGCTGTTTATTCAAATGTACTTCCCTCTCAAAATAAAAAAATATATATATAGTATGGGAAAAATGTCTCTGTTAAGTAATTACTTCATCTTTTTGGTCTGTCAGGAGTTGTTCTCGAATGATTCTAGTTCAAGGCTATTGGGAGAAATGCTAATGAGTGTCCCAGGGCTGTTGGAACAAAGTATGACAAGCTGGGTGGCTTAACACAACAGAAAGTTATTGTCTTACAGTTCTGGAAACCAAAAGTCTGAAGTCAAGGTGTTAGCAGAGCATGTTTGCCTCTGAAGCTCTAGGGAAGAATCTGTGCCTCTTCTAGCTTCTGGCGTTTCCAGGCAAGCCTCTTGGATGCCCCACTCCCATCATATCACATGGTTTCTCCCTCTCTTCTCATCTACCCTACTCACCTGACGAATGACAACTGCCGGCAGCTCAACTTCCCAGAATGGTCACACTCAGACGTAGTGGGAGTTAGGACTCTGACCACTCTAGCTATTTATTCATTTATTTAGGTGGTTCTGGGCTTTGAACTCAGGGACTTACTCTTGCTAGGCAAGCACTTTATCACTTAAGCCACTCTGCCAGCCTTGTTTTGTATGTTTGAGATAGGGTTTCACAAACCATTTGTCTGGGCTGGCTTTGAACCTCGATCCTCCTGATGTCTGCCTCCTAAATAGGTAGGATTATGGGCATGAGCCACTGGCACCCAGCAAATGGTTAGGTTTATTTTTTTTTTTTTTTTTGGTGGTACTGGGGTTTGAACTCAGCCTCACGCTTGCTAGGCAGGTGCTCTACCTCTTGAGCCTCTCCACCAGCCACCTGGGTTCTTTAACAGGAAACTGTCCTTGCCTTCAGTGTGCTCAGAGTGCACTGCAAAGTGTCCCAGGACATCTGCAGTTATTCCCAAACTTCTCTGGCCAAGGTACCAGGTACTGAAGCACTTCACACAGGCCTGGTGTTCCTTACACAATACTCCAGGACTTGTATCTGCCCCAGTGGTCTTCAACCTTGACTGCATGCTACAATCCCCACAATTCACCCCATTAGGCCACACTCTGGGCTGAGAGTCAGCTGCTCAGCTGGTTCCAAGGTGCAGCCAGACTGGATGAACACACTTGAAGTTCTGCAAACCACAAGTATGGAGAATAAAGGACTTCCAGCTGGGGTGAGCATGAGCGTACACTTCCCCTCCCCCACAGAGGGGATGAGCTTCTAGCATCCCTTCTAGGTCACCTTATCTTGTCCCTCCTTCTCACACACCCATTGTGCAGATACTGCAGATTCCTTGCCCCAAATCCATCCCAGGCTTTTTCCGGACTTTGTTGGATAGTTCTCTACCCCTCCCCCACATGACTCAGGCAGTCACTTCAGGTAATCCCACTTTATTTTAGTAATGGTAATCCATTTCCCTTGACCGTGGTTTAGGATAGCCCCAACCAGTAAGAAATAAGTGGAGCTCTCTAAGGCAGAAGGCTCCTTGCTAATTAAAAAAAAAAAGACTCAGAGATGGGCACTTATGCTGCTGGACACTGACTGCTCTAAGATAGCTGGAACATTGGCAGCTATCTTGAGACCATGGGGAACAATCTGAAGATAGCAGAACAGAAAGATAAGAGGTCTTTAAACAACTGACTTAACCAACCCTAGAGATGAACTTCTAGCTGGATAAAACCTTAAAGATCTTATGACAGGTGAATCAAAATCCGGCCATACTATCCTGATAATCAAAACCTACAAACCCATGAGCCCAGAATCCTTTATAAAGAGCCACAGTAACATGCAGTATACACGGACCCTGGAGAAGTTTCATGTTCTGTCCAGTCAAAGGTCCCTCATCCAACACCCCTCTCCCCCCCAGTTAAGCACTCTACAACTGTGCTGTTCCTCAGACTGCTGTTCCTCAGACTTTCTTTTGTTTTATTTGTTTAAGGCAGGGTCTCACCGTGAACTCAGGCTGGCCTGGAACTGGCTATGTAGCCTGGGCTGGCCTTGAATGTGTGATCCTCCTGCCTCAGCCTCCCAAATGCTGGGATTACAGTTGTGTGTCACCATGCCTGGCTTCCTCATCCATTCTATATGGCATCAGGTATGAAGATGAGCTATGTATCCAGAAACATCCATCAAATAACCCATAGTAGGATCTACGCACATTCCGTAATAGACAGTTACAGAAATCTACCCAGATATATAGCATGCTTGTTTCAAACAGGAAAAGTTCTAATATCTGGAGAAGTTGTAAATTCTTCACCTCTCCTGTCTTTATCATCTACTCTCCACTTCTCTCTTGACTAAATATCAAACTTCTCCTTTAATCGTGCTAAAAAGAAAATACATTTGTTACCTCAAAGAGATGAGTGGGCCCCTCCTGAAATACCTGGAAGGAACGACCACCTGCAATTTTCAGGTGCTTGCAAATGTGCAGTGAGATTGTTACCAAAAAGTCAACCAAAAGTGTTGTCAGAAATTCAGCACAGCTATCTACCTCCACCTGTGAGAGAAGAATTCAGGCAAGACATGAAAACATAGTGAAAGTGAAGTCTACTAGGAAAAGAACACACTTTCAAGAGACTGAAAGTGGGCCATCTCTAGAGTGAGCAATGACAATTATTTCTACTGTGGCAGCAGTTTTTACTGAGGTGGAAGAGGCTTAGAGCATTCTAGGAGGCTGAAATCACAGTTGAGGTCACAAGGCTAAGGTATGTCTATAGATTAGTAATGTTCCAACTACCGATGGGTCCACCTGACCCCTTAGAGTCTGGTCTTTGTTTTGTTAAGTAAAGATCTATTGTTTTAGGAACTGATGTTAAACCACTTTCAGGTGATGACTCAAAAGCATCTAATGATATCCAGGACCTTTGTGGGCTATTTTAATCCTAACAGAAGCATATCCCAATTGTTCATGGCTAACTGCGACCTAACAAGATGACCTTCCAAATGTAAGGTCATGGATGTTACAAAGACTGCAACAGTTGGAAAACAAAAAGGATTTTTAACTATATTCAGTGATTGTTACAAAAACAAAACAAACAAACAAAAAAGCCACTCTACACTTGCTATTTTTTGGTGGAATAGCCTGTGATGTAGCTTGAAAGGAAAGTGAAGCCAAAAAGAGAGACACACCAAGAAAGAATATGTGAACTTCACAAGCAGCAGATCTTTATTAGGGAGAGGAGACCTGAGAGGGACCCTGGGCCTTCACAGTAACACTCTGAGAGGGGCAAGAGCATGCCTTTCTTAGAGGCTGGGGACTTTAAACATCCTGTGGGGGGAAAAGGAGGTTGGTGGGGGGATGGGCATTAGATAAGATGGTTGGGAAGGAGGATGGGGGGAGGTGATGGACATGAGCGGGAAAGTCATTGGGGTTGGGCAGCTATGTGTGTTGTTTTTCTCTGGCTCTCTTATCGGAGGTAGCCATGTTTGCGTTGTTTCAGTGTTTCTCGACATTCCAGCATAGCCTATACATTGATATAGGATCTGGTCCTTTTCACCAAATGAGTTAGTAAAGCTGAGAATAAATTTTTTTTTGGGGGGGGCAGGCACCTGTGGCTCACTTCTATTATCCTAGCAACCTGGGAGACTGGGATTGGGAGGATCAAGTTTCGAGGCCCACCTGGACACATAGTTTGCAAGACCCCATCTCCAAAACAACCAGAGCAAAATGTACTGGAGGTGTGGCTCAAGTGGCAGAATATCTGCTTTGCAAGTGTGAGGGTCTGAGTTCAAACCCCATCCCACCCCCCTCCAAAAAAAAAAATTAGGACATGGGTTGCATTAAATGGAACTGGCTTGTGATAAAACAACATTACAAACAGAAACCTGATGTTATAAAAGTTAGCCAAGATCTGGGGTGAAGAGTGGGCCAGTGTGATCCCTTCAACATCCCAAACTGAGGCAACTAGACCAGCCTATAAGTTAAGTCCTAATGTTAGGTAACACTTAGTCATGAGTGATGGGGATATGCAAAGGGAACTTTAAATGGATGATTCTTCAAGGTTGCTGAGAGAAAAACATTGTATTTAAACTTTCCACTCTTTTTGTTATTGTTTGTTTGATGGTACCGGGGCTTGAACTCAGAGCTCCTAGGCAGGCACTCTACCGCTGGAGTCACATCACCATCAAACTTTCCACTCTTAACAGAGGCAGTTAAGATCAGAATAGCCCACCGAGGTAAAGAGATTTCACAGATGTTTTCGAGTTTCCTGCCATGAGGTGGGGTAGCATTAGTTTCTGACACAATAGATCTTAACAAAACAAAGATCCAGGCCTGTAAACCATAACCTAGGGGTCAAGTGGTCCCTAAAATAGTTTGTACATTATGAATCTGTAGACCTACCAGAGCCTTGTGACCTTGACTGTGACTTCAGCCTCCTGGGCTCATCCTGGGGAGGGACTTAACTGCTCCTTCCACTTCAATAAAAACTTGTGCCAAGTAAAAAGAATTGTTGTTCTTGTTCTTATTCTAGAGACACAGTCTATTGAAAGTGTATTCCTTTATAATAAGTTTTACTATCATTTTTACTGCATTTTTCATCTTGCCCAAATTCTTGAGGATGCAGAGACTGTGGCAGATAGCTGTGCTAACTTTCCAGTAACACTACCACCGCGACCTTACAGCTCTGTCAGTGATAAAACTGCCTTCCCTACTCTTCTGGCCAAGTCACTTAATTCTCTCAGCCTCTGTGCGTCCTTATCTATGGAATGAGAGTAATACCTGTCAGAAAGGGGGTATTTAGGCAGGATAAAAAAGACAATGTCTGCACACTGCCAGGCACACAGCAGGTACTCAATAGATGGTGCTTGTTTACTCAGGACAATGGAGCAGGACAGTCATTGCAAGGCTCTGCACAGTTTGCTGACAATCCCAAGAGGACCAAGTGGAAACTTAAGTGCAACTACACAGCAGTCTGGAAAAGACGCCCTCCCCTGTGGTCCTGAAGTTTTCCACTTCGGTGTTTACTGACTGGGTCCACTGCATCAAGTCTGTGTTGAAGGTCTTTCCCAGAACTTCATTTGTTTTCTGTATTCTTGGATCTGGACCATGACTTCGGCTTTTCTCGGAAGGCCACGGTTAGGGGGCTGGCTGATTAAGCAAGAATCTGTCCACACTGGGTCTCAACTCCCTGCCTTATGCACACTGCTGCATTAGTGACTGGCTCTGGTCCACTCTCCTCTCCTGACGCTGGGCAAGTCCTTTCTCTATAAGCTTCTTGATTCTGCCTGTCCCATTTGGGGTCTCTGGGCCTCTTGGGGGCTGTGAAGTAATAAAATGGGCTCCTGGACTGTTTTCAGTATTTGAGAAAGTAGAGGGCATGTGTGTGCACGATTTTGGCCAATGCCCCAACAACCACCTTCGGTGGGATGAATCCCGCTATGGGTGACCCTGGTCGAGCGGAGAAGGACGGGTCTGCACCCTTCAACCGAACGAGCGGTGCCTTGCCTTCCCCAGGACCTCAAGGCTCAATGGCACCGGAATGCGCCGGCCCAGGGAAGTCACCCTTGCCTGGAGCCTTTCTCGCAGTCACCGCGGGGGCGCAGCTCTGCCTGCACAGCGTCCGGACAGAGGGACCCCGGGGCTGCTGACTAAGCGTTTTCACGGCTGGAGCGAGGCCCCGCCCATCCCGGAGGCCCCGCCTCCAGTCCCGGCGGCCCAGCCTGGCTCCAGCCCGACACACAGTCCCCGCCCCTCGTCCACGGCCCCATCCGGGCCTCAGCTCTTCCACATATCCCCGCCCCTCTGGGCGTCGCCCTATCCGAGGCCGCACCCAGCCGAGGAGGCCCCGCCCCCGAACGCTGCCCAATCAGGTCCCCCCATCCAGGACTCCGTCCCAGCGCTTCGGTCCCGCCGGCACGCTCCGGCCCGGGCGCTCCGCCCCGCCTTGCCTCGCCCCGCCCTGCTTTCGCCACCCGGGTGGCGGAGGCGCGGCCCTGCGACCCTTCCTCCGAACCCCTGCGAACATGGCGCTGCGAATGGCGAGGAGCGTGGGGGCCGCGGCCTGCAGCCTGCGCACGGCCTTGGCCCCCGCCGCGCCCTGCCCGCCGCGGCTCTGGCGGCTGAGGGCGGGCGCAGTGCGGACGCTGCGCACGGGACCCGCTCTGCTCGCGGGTAAGCGCGCGGCACGTGGGCGGCCGGCACCTCCTCCCCTTGGCTCGCCGCGGGCTGAGCGGGACCGGAGCGCGCGAAGTCCGGCCCTCCGAAGCAGTCGCCAGAAGACACGAGCAGCCTTTGTGCCGGCGGTAGAAAGCGGGAAGCGGGAGGGGAGGGGAGGGGAGGTCGCTGGGCAGTGCTGGCCCGGCCCGGCCCCGCAGGTGCTGGAGAAGCCAGGCGGGCCCCGCGAGGTTCATTGTGCCCCGTGTTGATCTCGCTCTTGTGCGCACTGGGACCCTAAATGAGAGGTCTTTTGTTTACGAATGCACCATTACTGAGAACTCCAGACACAGTTAATTAAGCAGGGCACTTCCTAAAACCAAAGCAGTGGGTCTGGATTGCTAATGGCTAAGACCAGCGTGTCGTTGAAGGCCTCTGTCCCCCCAGAACAGAAAGGTGCAATCTCTGGACCCACCACGAAGACCTGCGAAAGCGCACCGAGTCGCCGATGTGGCCTGGGCTGAAGAGAGGCGGACTTACACGGACTTGAAATAACTGGGAGGCCTGGCCCTGGACTGTCGGCCGATTGTGCAGCAGTGGCACAATTGGCCCCAGAGGACCGTTTTCTTTATGCGCAAAGACTTGACACTAACTGCTGTTTGTAAGAACTCAGCCTTCTTATTTGGGGTGCAGAGCTCTGGATGGCTGTTGTCTTAAGGAATTCACTGGTTTTGGAAGCTGTTTGGAGCTGGAGTTCTTGATCATTTTATTCCAAAGTTTAAAGCTTTTCTCTTGCTAGTGTTCTCAGCTGTGTGTGACACGCCAGTGCATTCATTACTGATTTGAATACAGTGATTCATTACCGATTTGCATTCTCTTTCTCAGCGAACTTCTCTTAAAGTCCATGCTTTTTTTGGTTGTTATCAACGTTACTCTATCTAGCTGTTTGCATTCTCTAGTTACCTGGTTAAATATTGCCTAAAATATCAATGTCCGTGATATGGTTAAGCGCCTAGGGTTTTTTCTTCGTTATTTTTAGTGGACACAAAATTGCACATATTTATGGGGTACAGTGCATCTAAGCTCTTAAAAGATCATAGACCCCACTTCCAAAAAACTATGTGATCTGGGCCTAGTGACTTTTCTGAATCTGTTTCCCTTGTTAGAAAGTGGAGAGAATACCTACTTCACAGACTTGCTGGGAGGATGAAAAGAAACAATGTAATTTTTGTACTTGCACCCTGCTGCATGCTAAGTACTGGGAAGATGTATAGCATCAAATAAATAGTAAGAAAAGAAATATATCAAAATATATTTCATCTGGCTATTGAAAAGAAAATGTAAAGTTTTTATGAATTACAACTCCGATTTTCTGAGGCCAAAGCGTGCTTTTCAAGGTCCAGTAAAAAAGTAATTATTTATCTGTCCACTTTTTTTTCCTGTTGGGCAAGGGTTAAAGGAGAATTGCAGTAATATTGGTAGTCTTTAGCCTAAGTAGCATACCTAGTAAAAAAATGTATGGACTTTGAATTCATCTGGACCTAGTACCAAGTTTAGTAATGTTGCTGTATTTGGGGTTGCTGATGATCTCCCAAGGTAATCTTTACAATTAGGCAAGGTGGCCAGGACAGCTGTCTCAGGGGGGGTCATACATTTATAATTGTTCAGCCCTTTCAAAAAGTTTCTTAGTTTTGAACTGCTCATAATTGGTAATGTAATCAGCGAGTTCTAGAGTTGGAAGAGAATGAAAGAATTAAGTGTTGTAGCCAAATAACTATATATCATCTGTTTTGCCCAGAATCCATTTGCTTGGTAAACTTTTTCTTTTTTTAGGGGGGGTAGTAGTTTTTGAACTCAGGGCCTATACCTTGAGCCACTCTACCAGCTCTTTTTTTGTGATGGGTTTTTTCCCAAGATAGGATCTCCCAAACTGTTTGCCTGGGTTGGCTTCAAACTGTGAGCCTCCTGATCTCTGCCTCCTGAGTAGCTAGGATTACAGGTTTGAACCACCAGCGCCCAGCTTTTTTTTTTTTTTTTTTCTGCAGTGCTGGAGATTGAACTCTTAAGCATGCTGGCTAAAAGCTTTACCACTGAGCCTGTGCCCTCTTCTTTAAACAACAGTAGCCAGTTTCTTCAAGGACAGGCTTAAATGATTAAAGAATTTTAAGAACTTAAGATACAATTGAGAGATCAGTTTCATCCCTTTATAACTAAGTTACAGTGAAGCCACCTTAAGTCAACACCTACCTAAAGAGACGTTTTTTCTTTTTTAAGGTTAAATTGTTCTTGAGAAGTAGTCTTGCCATGTTATGCAGGCTATCCTTGAACCCTAGAGCTCAAACCATCCTGCTTCAGCTTCCTAAATAGCTGGGACTACAGGCACATGCCTTTCTCTCTCCTCCCTCCCTTCCTTCTCCCTTGTTCTTTCCTTCCTCCTCCTCTCCTCCATTCCAGCCCTTTTTAAAATTTTTATTTTGACACAGGACCTCACTAAATTGCTGTGGTTGTCCTTAAACTTTTGATACTTCTGCCTCAGCCTCCTGAGTAGCTGGGATTAAATTATACTTAGTGTATAAACTTAATGAAATATGTTCCAAATTTCTTTGTGTGATTTAGGCTGAGTAATGTTAAAGCAAATAAGCCAGTTTCCCAAAAATGCACAGTGTTCATATTAAGCCATCTTGCTTAAGTAATAACACTGTTTAGATGTGCTGTCCTTAATTTGGTCTTTGTTCTTTCTTGGGTGGTGTACTACTGAGAGACTGTGTCAGTAAGTCACGCACAAATCTTACTTTTTGACAGTAATGATGTGAAGAGACTTTTTAAAAAGTGATGCTACTGCTTTTCTAAAGTATTGCTCCTCTGTTTTAGTGCGTAAATTCACGGAGAAACACGAATGGATAACAACAGAAAATGGTATCGGAACAGTGGGAATCAGTAATTTTGCTCAGGTATTGGATTGTCTTGAAATAGTTGTGATTGTCTGCTCTCAAGTAATTTGGATTGTCTTTACCTTATAAAAACTGTTTACTCTGTGTTATCTTTTGGGACCTTTTAAAGGCCCCTAGAAGAAAATCAGGTGAAGCAACTAAAATGTCCTTTAGTGAAGGAGTATGTGGTGTTGTGAGAAGATATACTATGCTTGGCCTGGTAATGCATGCCTGGAATCCCAGCTGTTGGGAGGAGGAGGACAGAGAGTTTAAGGCTACACTGGGCTAAGTAATGAGTTATAGGCCAGCCTGGACTACATAGTAAGACACTGTCTCAGAACAAAACAAAAAAAGATATTGGGTCGACATTTAAAAGTAAGAAATATACATTATTCAAGAAAGAAATAGTTTTATTTAGAGCTTAAAATTAAGAAAAAGAGCTAGCAAAGGTCTAGAGGGTTGCCAGGATTTTGTGGGTACAGTGATACCATGAAGAGAGGGGAAACCCAAATAGGCACAAGATTTAGTCTTTTTTTCTTTGTTAATTCCCCTGTCTTCAGTGATTTCATGTTGAAATGATGTTTAAAAGAAAATGAGAAGCCAAAGAGTAGCACGGTCCAGTGATTTTTCAGCTGGATGTATGTGTGGGTGAGACAGGAGGACAAAGAGGACGTTAACTGGTGAGAGGAAACAAAATTCTTTGACATGTTGGATTCTCAGGTCCTAAAAGTTACTGACAGTGTTGTCACTGGCTGTCTGTGTATCTATGTGAGGCCTAGTACAGGTGGCCTTGTGAAATATTTTATGAAATGTTGTCCTTGCCTCCCGAGTGTATCCATGGGGGAATGACCCACATGGAAACTGCATACAAAGCATTGTGCTATAGAGGTCACTGGGAGGGGGAAGGAGATGTGATTCACTCATCCGAGGGAGAGGCCACTTCTGAAGACAAGGTCTTGAGGACTGTGGTTTATAGAATCTATGAGTAGAATTTCAGCCACTGCAGTCTGGTCATGGCGTAAGTAAAACTGCAGAGGTGAAATGCACATGTGTTAAGAGAGCTGGTCTTGCTTGGGGCACATGGCTTTTGCCCAAGCTGGCGTCTAACTCAAGTCTTCTTGTCTCTGCCTCCTCAGTGTTGGGATTACAAGCATGTAAAACTGGCTACTTGGCCAGTTGTTAAATTTTTTAAATGGCTGTAAGTCTACAATACATAGTCTGTATTTTTCTATTTAAGTCTAAGTAGACTTTTCTGGTTTTTTTTTTTTTTTTTTTTTTCAGGAAGCTTTGGGGGATGTTGTATACTGTAGTCTGCCTGAAGTTGGGACAAAATTGAAAAAACAAGGTGAGTGTTTTTCTTATCTAGGACTGTCATGATTCATGCAGTGAATTTCCCTTGCCTGGTCTTTTTCTGAATAATAAAGAATAACAACTGTTTGCACCCATGGTCAGTTAGTTTTTTCGATTCAGGAAATAGTATATTCAGATAGAAGTGTTTAACACTATTTACTTCTTACAAGTTGGAGATACATGGCTATAGATAGGGTTGGTTTACTGAAAGCCATTAAGGACACCTCTTTGTTGTGTACCTTTCTGCCTCAGTGTGTCAATGTGTCAAGCCACAAGGGCAGGCTGAATAAATCCCAGTTATCCATGATGCAAAAATTTTCTTTTTTTTTTTGGTGGCACTGGGATTTGAACTCGGCCTCAGGCCTGCTAGGCAGGTTCTCTACTCCGGTTATTTTGTAGATGGGGGTCTTGTGAACTATTTGCCTATGGTGGCCTGGACCAGTAATCCGCCCAATCTCAGCCTCCCAAGGAGCTGGGATTACAGACATGAGCCGCCGGTGCCAGCAGGGTCTGGGGTTTGAACTCAGGGCCTCGTGCTTGCCAGGCAGGTACTCTGCTGCACCTCCAGCTAAATTCATTCTTTAGTAGCTACAGGGCTTGTCCCGATTTTCTTTATCTTATGTGTTTTGAGAGGAATTTTCCAGGGTCAAGTTTTCAACTTTGTTCACATTGTTGCTTATTATCCTGCCATATTCATATGATCTGTAGTGAAGACCCCTTTTTCGTTCCTTTTTTTGGTTATAATTTATATTTTTTCTATTGTGTTGCGAGGGATCACATCACAGGGCCTCTTGCATGCTAGGCAAGTGTTCTACCACTGAGCTAAAATCTCAGCCCTTTTTTGTCCCTCTTGACCAGTCTTGCTGGCTACTTACTAATTTTGCTAACTTTTACAGAGATCTAAGTTTTTACTCTAATTTTCTCTATTTTAAATTTCTACTTCATTATAATTTCTGCTCATATCTTTTATTATTTCCTTCTTGTCACTTTCTTAATTTACTCTTCTTTTCTAGCTTCTTAAAGTAGAAACTTCAGGTTATGTTTTAGATTTTTTTTTTTTTTTTAACTTGCTGTAAAACACTCTTCCCTCATGGTGGGTGGAGCTAAAATTGCAGTTCAGTTGTTTGAGCCTTAGCTGTCACTTGGGAGTCTGCCCTGTGTGTGCACAGTTCAGAGGTCATTCAGAGACAGGGCAGACTTTACATGTAGAAATTTTGTCTCCCTTTTGTCTTTATCCTTCCTAGGAAATTCCCACTTCACTTTCCAATGGCTGTGACCACCTCAAACTCTTGACTTCTGGTCTTCAAAGCCAGTAAGACTGAGGTTTTCTTTGAGGATTTTGGCTGTCCTGCATGGTACAGATTGGTGCAAAAAAGCCGTTATCATCCCCACCCATGAACTCACCCAGTGTCATCCCTTCTTTCAAGTGTTGCCACTTCTCTAGAAATTACCTATTTTTATTTTCTTGTGTTTTTAGAATCCAAGCCATTGACTTTAAAAACTGTTTTTACATAAAACCTAAATATACCAGTTTTCTTCTAGGCACTGTTTTAGGTATATCCCATAAATTCTGATGTATTCTCATCATTCATTTGAAAGTATCTTCTAGTTTCCCTTATGATTCCTTTTTTGATCCATGAGTTATTTACAGGTATGTTGTTTTAGTTCCAAATATTTATAGCTTATCCTTATCTCAACCAGCAAAACCCCTTGTTCCTTCCTATTACTGCTTATACTCTCTCTACAACAAAATTAGAGATAAGGGCAAAATAGTTTCTGCTGGGTATTGAGGGGGGGAGCGGGAGGGGGGGTGGAGTGGGTGGTAAGGGAGGGGGTGGGGGCAGGGGGGAGAAATAAACCAAGCCTTGTACGCACATATGAATAATAAAAGAAAAATGAAAAAAAAAAAACAAATATTTATAGCTTATTCCTATTTTACTTAATTTGTTGTAGTAAAAGGACACAGTCTGTAAGATTTTAGTTTTTGAATTTGTGACTTAGTGAATATTCCATGCGCACTTGAAAAGACTGCATGTTCTTCATTTGTTGGGTATTGTCTTAGTCTATTTGGGCTGCTCTAGCAGTACCACAGGCTATGTGGCTGGTGAATAACAGAACTTCTCGTAGTTTGTAGCTCTGGAGGCTGGAAGTCTTGAAATCAGGGTGTCAGTATGGTCTGGTTCTGGTGGGGGTGCCTTTCATGAAAGCACTAAGCACATTCATGAGGGCCAAAGCCTCTGTCTTTTAGGCTGGAGGTGTGGCTAAAGTGGTAGAGCACCTGTCTAGCAAGTACAAGGCTCTGAGTTCAAACCCCAGCACTGCCAAATCAAATAAAATCAAATACCCATTAAAAAAAAAAAGTTAGCAAAGCCTCTGTCTCCTAATACCTTCACAGTAGGTACACAGTAGTACTTCACAGTAGTACTTTCAGTAGGTTAGGTTAGGTCAGTTGATGATATTGTTCATACTGTTCTTTCTGAACTTTTTATAATAAAAATGATAGCAAAATTTTTAGGAGAGGAGTATACTGTCAACAGACTGAAGCGGGTTGTCTTTAGAGTGAACACAACCCTTACTGAATTTTTGAGAGGCGGTATTAAACTCCAACTGAGGTTGTAGATTTGTCTGATTTTCCCTTTAGTCATTATTATTATATTGTTTGTTTACTTATTTATTTATTTGGATGGTGCTGGGGTTTGAATTCAGGGTCGAGTGCTTGCTAAGCAGGTGTGCTTTAGCCAATGCTCCCAGCCCCTTTTTGCTTTAGTTTGTGGATAGGGTCTTGTGTTTTCACCCTAAGGGCCTGCTGGGAACTGCAGTTCTCTCACCTACACCTCTCACATAACTTGTTTGGTGAGATAGTGTCTCACTAACTATGTGCTTGGGCTGGACTCCAATCAAGGCCAGATCTCCACCATGTAAGTAGCTGGGATTACAGCATACCATCTGGTTCTCCCTTTGGTAAATTTTTGCATTGTATGTTTTGAAGCTCTTTTATCAGGTGTATATACTTTTAGATTCTTAGTCTTCCTGGTGAGTTGATCCTTTCTTACTACAGAATGTCCTTTTTGTCTCTGGCAATTGTCACCTTGAAGTCTGCTTTGTCTGTTAATGTGAACTTTTTTAGATTTATTACTTGGATGGTATATATCTGTCATTTCACTTTTGACCTAGGTGTGCCTCTAAGAGCGTGTTTCTTAAAGATGTAGTCCTTGGACACAGCGTATAGTTTGGACTTATTTTCTTAACCATTCTGACTATATTTCCTTTTGACTAGAATGTTTAGTTTTTTTACCTTTAAAGGGTTATATTGATATGCTTGAGTTTTGGTCTAGATTCTTTTGCTATTTGCTTTCAGTTTATCCTGGTGGTTGTTCATCTGCTCTTTTAAATTTTGTTGAATTTCTTTTTTTTTTTTTTGAGACAAGGTCTTGTTATATGGCCCATGCTGGCCTCAATCCTACCTCAGCCTCCTTCCTGGGTGCTGGTATTTACAAGAATATACCGCCATACTCTGATTCTCCATTGCTTTTTGTTGTCCTCCACTGTTTTGTTTTGTTTTGTTTTTGGCAGTACTGGGGTTTGAACTAAGGGCCTCATGCTTGCTGGGCATTTACCTGTTCTTCGGTTAATTTCAATTGATCCTCACACTGTTCTTTCTTCTCTTGTTCTTAGTCTGCTATTAATACTGTCTGCTGGAGTTTCTATTTTAGATATTCCATTTGTAGTGTCCATTTAAAAGTTTTCAGTCATGCATATTCCCTGAGCCCACTCACTGTGATGAAATCTGTACACATTTATAGCTACTTTTAAGTTTCTTTGCTAATTCCAACATGAGGGTCATTTGGAGATGTACTCCCATTAACTCCTATGTCTTTTTAATGTGTTCCCTTCTTCCTAAGATTTCACCCCTCAGGCAAACTGATTAGCTCTCTGCTCTTCTGGTGTTCTAGTCGCCCTCTGTTCTTTGGGTGGGGCACTGCTATCAGGGGAAGATCTTAGCCAGTTTGGTTTCCTTCTTTCAAGGATTGAGTTCCATTTGGTCACTCTCCAAGTCCTTCATATAAGTGTTTATGTTTTGCTCAAAGTCTATATAATTGTTATCTATAGGAATAGTGGTATTTCACCATTACTGGAACTTCCTAAGGTTTTCCTTCTTTCTTTTTCCTGAGCCACAGTAAGTTCAGAGAACATTGAGTTTTTATTAAACGTAACACCTGGATACATCTGGTGTCCAGAGGCTTCACCATTTGCTGCTCATTCCGTTCAGAACAGACTGGTCTCCTTTGAGACTTCATGCCTTCATGCACCTGGGCATGCTTCACTCTCAAAGAAACATAGTGTTTTCATCATGACTGTATGAGAGGTGACGCCTCCATATTTTGTATTTTCAAACCATTCACCTGGCATTTAACGCTTCCTTTAATTTTCTCCCATGTAGATGAGTTTGGTGCTTTGGAAAGTGTGAAAGCTGCCAGTGAACTGTACTCTCCTCTATCAGGAGAAGTAACTGAAATTAATGAAGCCCTTGCAGAAAATCCAGGGCTTGTCAACAAATCTTGTTATGAAGATGGTAAGGTTTTGTTCACATTTTCATCTCCATAGTAACCTTGTGAATTATGCTTACAGCAGTTTTCTGTTTTAGGCCCTAAATACTTACATGTGAGGGTCATGCAGCCAATAAAATGGCTTAGGATTAGCCATTTATTTAGGGATTAGGTAGTGGTTTTCTTTGCCTGCTACCTCACCCTTGTAGCTCTCTAGTGCTATCTAATGCCCTAAACCTCAGTATTGGTGTACCTTTGTTAAAGAAAGGCATACATAGCCTTATGTATTCAAATCCCTATTTAAAGACTTAAATGCCAGTTGTTTATGCCTATTATAACCTAAAAGTTCATTTATTATGGTAGGCTCTGTTCTGGCTATAATTCTTTTCAGTTGTGATATACAAGTATGCTAATTTAGTTTTTAGGATTAAAACTTAAAAGTTCCACTGACAAATAATATATGTACATTAGATTAATTTGATCACTTAGTTGAATTCACTAGATTTTTTTTTTCTTTTTAATTCACTAGATTTTGAGACACTGAGAAATTTACATTTTGGATGAATTTGACATTGTACAAAGATAACTGGAATATAAGATTTTTTTGTTTTGGTTGCAGGTTGGCTGATAAAGATGACACTGGATAACCCCTCAGAACTAGATGAACTAATGAGTGAAGAAGCATATGAGAAATACGTAAAATCTATCGAGGAGTAAAAATGGCAACCCTAAATAAATCAATGTGAAGTAACGTACTTCAGCATAGTTGTCTGAAATTGGTGGTGAATAGAAGACTTACAATAACAACATTTAGCAGCACAAATGGAGAAGAAACTACTCTCAGCACTGCTACTGAAGAAATACCCTTCACTTCCCAATGATTGCACATAACCAAAATATGCACTTTTTTTTTTGCCCTAAGATATTATAACTTGTTTATATCCATCCTTGAATATGAGTCAAAATCCCCAATGATCTTCCCAATGGAAATAACTGGGAGTGGAGGAAAGTGTTTCCTGTACAGTGTCAGATAAAGAACAATGCTATCTTGATTTTATAGTAGACCGCATTTGCTGGTGCCATTTTTATACAGTGAAGCAGCAGCTTTGCAGCAAAGTAAATATTAAACCTTCATTAATCATGTTTTTTGTTTTGATGTTAATATTTCACTTAGTGACTACTGGTATTTGTGAAATGCTAATTTTAACTTATGGAAAGTTGTCCGTTTTTCTGTGGTACTAGGGATCTAAACCAGGGCCTCACACATGCTAAACATACTTTGCCACTGTGCTACACCCTCAACCCTGGAAAGTTATTTATTGTTTTGGTGGTACTGGGGTTTGAACTCAGGGCCTCATGCTTGCCAGGTAGGCATTCTACCACTTGAGCCATTCTGCCAGCTGTGTTTTGTATTTTTGAGATAGGGTCTCGTGAACTATTCCTATACTGTCTTCAAAGAATTTTGATCCTTCTGATCTCTGCCTCCTGAGTAGCTAGGAGTATAGGTGTGAGCCACTAATGCCTGGCTGAAAAGTTATTTTTAAAAAGGAAATTTAGGGCTGGTAGAGTGGCTGCCTAGCAAGCCTGAGGTTCTGAGTTCAAACCTCAGTATGGGCAAAAAAAAAAAAATTAAGCCCTAACAATGAAAGGCTTAAGAAAAATTTTCCTTTTTGTTATAAATCTGGCCTTTTTTTTTTTTTTTTTTTTGCAGTACTGGGGTTTGAACTCAGGGCCTATACCTTGAGCCACTCCACCAGCCCTTTTTTATGATGCGTATTTTCTAGATAGGGTCTCCTGAACTATTTGCCCGGGCTTGCTTCAAACCTTGATCCTCCTGATCTCTGCCTCCTGAGTAGCTAGGATCACAGGTGTGAGCCACCAGCATCTGTCTAAATCTGGCTTTTCTTAAGCAAAGATCTAATTGTCTGATAGCATTTAGCACTTTCTTTTATCATCTTTAAATAAAAGTATTTCAGTTACAAGAGGAAAAACAAGGAAAGGTGAAAGTTTTGATTGGCACAGCACATAGTATTTTAAGAAGTTAAAAGCTCTACAGCCCAGCATGGTGGTGCACAACTATAATTCCAGCACTGGGAAGGCTGAGACAGGAGATTGTGAGTTCCAGGCCAGCCTGGAGTATGTTGTGAGACCTTGTCTCTTAAAAAAAAAAAAAGTTAAACCATATTCAGGTTTAGAAGTGGACACAATGAAGCTTTGAGCTCAGATAGTGATAGAGGCAATGAAAATTCCTTGCAACTTAAGCATACTTAAGAGTGACAACTGGTATTTTCAGATGTCTAATATACCCTCTGATTTGGTCAACTGTAAAATGCTGCTTGAGAGGGTAGAGTATGTACAAGTACACACTAGGTACAAGCAGACAGACTCCTCCATTTTCCCCTTTAGTACTAGAAAAGCCAAGTCTACCACTTGGTGGTGAATAAATAGCAAATACGAACTGAGAGCAGTAGGAAGGCAAGTGACAGGCAGATCTCCCTGCTTCTCAGCAGAAGAAAGTGTCTACCAGGACTGCTAGTGGTGGCCAATTCACTGCTGAACTGTTACCTGTGCGCCCTATCAAGAAAGTACCCAATGTGTCCTGGATGATTGTCATTTTGTGTAATTATCAGTTAGGTTGGTTAATCTGGCTGCCTTGGAAATAAACAGCAATGAGTAATGGCTGTGTACCTGTAGGTATCCATGATGATCATTTATAGTTAAGAAAAGTGATGGAAGCCCCTGGGCGTGGTGGCTATAATCCTAGCATGGGAGGCTACAGCAGGGTTGTAGGTTCCAGGCCAGCCTGGGCCTCATATATCAAGGCCCTGTCTCAAAAAACCAAAAACAAGAAGGGAACAAAGGAAGAAAAGTAATGGGTACAGAAATTTATCAAATGTTTGGGTGGTCATAGGAAGGATTTTCACCTTCACTGATCTGCTTTTTGTTAGTCCCTTAGCAAATGCCACTACAGGGTGAGCTTCCCTAATCTGAAAATACAGAACTGAAATGCTCCAAAATCTGAAACTTTGAATGCAAACCTGATGCCACAGTGGAAACTTCTACACCTGACCTCATCTGGGACAGTCAGAATGCAGGCTCCTAAAAATACCATATAAATTACCTTCAAGTGATGTGGAATCTGAAAATACTCCAAAATCAGAAACACAGAATCTGGTCCCAAGCATTTAAGATAGGTGTTGAAACCTGTACAAAAACATGAGAGTGAAAGGGATGAATATTCTTAAAGCTGGAAAGTAGCCCATCTAGAGTGAATATTAGTGACTGTAGTCTGCCATCCCTTCCCAAAGACACACTTGCTTTGTAATACCCATTTATGTTTTTAAAGAACACAACACATTGTTGCGGGAATCTCAAGCTGAGATAAGGGGCACTGAGGCAGTTTAGCAGGAGGCAACATTTTATTGTGCCAGAACAGACCCAGTGGACTCGTGTCCAAAGGCTGAGCCCCCAAAACAGATCTCATTTTATACACCCTTGCAAGCAGGTTACAGAAGCAAAAAGCAAAGCTCAACCCACATGTGGCTGCATGTGACTTCATTGGCTACTTCATTTCCCCAGTGCTATGTGACCTTCTTCATGTTTTAATTCTTTAACTTTTATCTGTCTGCTTTGCCATCCCTTCCCCCTGCCTCATTATCAGAACACAGCCTGTCTGTTTCTCTTTTGGCCCTCCTCCCTGCCACATTATTCCCCCCTTTGATGCTCGGATCCAACTAGGATTAAAGAGTATCATCTTGATTTAGAAGTTTGTATTTTTACAGCATCATTATGTGTGTGGCTCTTTTTTGTTGTTGTTTTTATAGTGGCCTCCATAATGGTCCTGAAAGACCTCAGTACCAGGGGAACCGGGCAGGGTAATATTAAGCATGTTTTCAGGATAAGGCCTATGGCTCCTATCAGGATTTTGAAACCACCTAAGGCAGAGAACCATCCTCTAAACAGGTCATTGGGAGTCCATCTTTCCCAATTCTGGATGTGGACCTAGGCAAGCTTTTTCATTTTATCTGTGATTTTTTTTAAGTATGAACAAACATTTTATGTGATTTTTTTATGACTTTTTTTTTTTAATCAATCTGTAAGCAGCAGTTGCTTAGGTTACTACTTTGAGGTGTATCAAGAGTCCCAGGGTTAAGGCCTTATCATCTATCCTTATACCAGTTACATGTCCCCATGTCCAGATGGCTTAAGTACAGTGAAATTTACAGGATTACAGGTACCAGGAGGGCAGTTTGGGGCAGCTGTCCCCTTGTGAAGGAGGGCTGCGTGTTTTGTCCTTTCCCATGTAGCCCATGAAACACAGCTCCAATACTGGCAATTATAAGAACCTACGTCATCACGTGGCCAAGAGTTGTCTCTCCTGCACATACACTTTTCACTGGATGTACAGGCTGTCTTCCAAGTTAGGACCCCACAGCCACAGCCTGTACCTCCACATCCACCTTGGTCTATGGCCGCACATGCATCAAAGAGCATTGACATCAGTTTATCAGGGTTAAACACCTGGGTGCAGCTGACAAGGTTCCCAGGGTTGCAGATGCTCTGGATCGCTAACCATTGCACCCGGGGGTGGTGAGTGGGGTTGAAGCAGATATGCTGATTACCATGGGAGCATGCTAGATAGGTGGTATGGTTGCAAGTGCATGACCTGATGACAGACTTGCACAGGAACAGTAAGTATGGAAAAGCAGACTCCTAGTGACAACACTTTCTGCCTGAGTAGTATGCATACATGGTCACAGGAGGAGGGCTCTGGGACCATGAAGGGAGACCATATCAGTAACAATAAACTAATTATGCATCCTGCCCAAGAGAGATAGAAGAGACCTAACAAATCCAATCAGTGGGGGTGGTTTCTGCCAAACCTATGGTGAAGACTAAGGTGAGAACTACAGCAACAGATGCAGACAAAGAATGACAATGCATTACAGTGAAATAACTGGTGTGGGAAACAGTCTGTTTGTCCTGTTGGAGAGTTGACTCCTCGAGCTTCAGCCATGCGTAGATTAGTCAGCTTTTGAGGGTGACTAGAGCAGGACTGTCGTCCCGCTGTTCTTAGTCCCTTGTTGTTTCCTGAGAAGTGGAGTCCTGCTGAGCAAGGGCACTCAGGTTCCAAAGGATGATCCTACGCGGTGAAGCTGGATGCACTGCCACTCTAGAGAAGCTGGCTTGACTCAACTATGGTGGATCCAAGGAGCAATCTCTGCTACTTTAACTGTAGTGGGGATAGACAAGACAACAACAAAAGGGCACCTCTAATGGGGTTTTAATGGCTGGACATTTTTTTTTTTTACCCAGACAGTATCTTTTGGTTTTTTTTTTCTCCTTTTAACTGACTAGAATTACCTTGGCAACAATATACTATCAGGATATATGTTTAAGAAAACTCATTGTTTTAAAAAGTTAAAACTACCATCTTTAAGTATCAAAGGACATGTTTAGAGCCAGTAAAAATAGTCATTTTGTCTATATTAAGTAGAAGACCCTGTCTAAAAATAGGAGTTTGTATCTGGCCTTAATGCCGGATAGCCATACATGCATAAGAACCATTTCCTCAGTCCTTTTGGCCTTGGTTATTTTTGAGAGGTCTGGCATGAGGGACTCCATTTGAACTTTGATGGCATTCCCCCCTTGTTTCCAAACTGCTTGTCTCTGAGCAGTCTCCTCTGAAGATCTGTCTCCCATCCAAGTACTAACCAGGCCCCACCCTGCTTAGCTTCCAAGATCAGACAAGATTGGGCACGTTCGGGGTGATATGGCCTCAGACTGAAGATATTTCTTGATCGGTCATTTTCTTTCTTTATCGTGAGGATTTGTTGTTTCCTGGATTTTGTTTGGTTTGTTTTGGTCCCGCATCCGGGGTGGGGGGGTGGGGGAAATAACCAGCAGATCAGGTGGAAGTCAGTGCCAATTAGACTCTTGGTCAAATTTAAGCAACAAAGAAGCTTAGAAGGAGTGGCTCTTAGGCTATGGGCTTCTAGACAAGGACAATACAAAACAAAATCCAACAAAAGCAGATGTCTAAAAAGCTAACCTGGTTGACACATAAGTACTTATTACAGTCATTTTTTTGGGCTTGATTATAAATGTCTCAAAAGCATCAGAACTGTAA